TATGTCGTCGGGTTAGGTTGACGTACTTCATGATGATTGCATGGATAGAGTCCTGAGAAGGCAATTGTATCTATTAATTAGGATATTTTATGTAATTTTCTTAGAGATATGTTTGGGCAAAAGTCTATCGCAAAGACTTATGGTATCTTAGAGTTTGTTAGAGATAAGAGTCGTGTCCGATATGGGCATATTTTGTAATTCTCGGGTATAAATAGACCCCGAGCCCCATGTAATAAAACTAACACACATTCAATACAATTTCGGCGCATCGCCACCCTTTTACTTTCGTTTTGTTTCGACGAGTTCTTGCTTTCGGGTTGAGCTGCATCGGTTTCGATCTTCAACAAGAGGTAAAACTTGTTATGGGGCTTGCATTCTCAGGATTAGTGCTTACATCTTTATGATACTCTAATCTCGTTTATGTAATTCGTCGAGTTATCATATATCTTATATAATCTCTGGCAATATCGCTATCTGACCTTCAATCGGCTAACTTCTGTTGCTAGAAGGCAGCCGATTAGGTTAAGTACCGATGTTGACTTAGATTATATAGGATATCTACCACCCTATGAAGCATTCAACGACTTGATTGTTTAGATATTGTCTTTCTTTTCATACTTATAGCTGCATCAGTTGAGTTTGATCTTACGAATCGTGATTAGAATCTCAACCTCTAGCCTGTCTTTGGTTGACGATTAGGGTAGTATCGGGGTTTCAGCCAATCTTATCTGATTTAACTACATTTATCTTATATGCTTTATTGACATGTTAAATTTGCCCTTTATGTTAAGATCTTATTGCCTTCAAATATATTAGGATTTCTGTTTAGTATATTCTTCTTGCTTTAATATCTTAATATAGAGTGGTATCGAAGTATTAGCCGATACATGCTAGATCTATCTGATCGGCTATGCTATGAACATATATAATCTTGTTGTCAATATATATTTCGATCTAAGTGATTTATACTGTCTCGGCATGGTGACCGATCTATCCCAATCACTTGATTTAAGTATATATCGACATAAAGATTATATACCATTGATATCTACAGCCGATCGAGTAGATTTAGTTCTTTCTTATTTCTTAATGACTGCCGATCGATGCATATATGACATCGGCTCAAAGATAAATGATATGTCATCGCCAATTAGCCGATCGGGCTATCATTTATGGATTTAACCACGGTTTCTTTGTCTTTGTTTGTGTTGACGAAAAAATCGAACACACCGGCCTGGGAGATATGCTTAGCTCCAGTGCAGGTCCAAATATGATGAGATGCGGGCGTGCCAGTCAATTTGATCCTGCAACTGACAAGATATGTAAACAGCAGATAAAACAGCCGATTGGCTGACAAGCCGATGTAGTGATTCCAGTCGATAGCGATAATAGCCAATGCCGATACCAGCCGATAGCGATAGGGTTTAAGCAATCGGCTATATGTCCAATGTAGATGATGATATAAAGGCAATCGGCTGATGATGATGTAATAAAATAACAATATAATATAGTATAAACCAATCGGCAAATAATGATATAATAAATAAGCATCGATCCGAAGGTTAAAGCACACATCGGCTGGAGGTCCAATGTCATGAAATCCACAAGATTAGATTAAACAGTGAAACCTTTGTTGTCATCGGCTAAATCCAACTTATATGTATATGCAATCCTTATGGGCCGATGCAACGTCTAGATAACTCATCGGCTGAAACCCCGATGAAACCCTTATTGGCAATCAAGAAGCAGGCTAGAGATTATGGTTCTAAGCACGACTTAGTAGATCAAACTTAACTGATGCAGCACTGAGTATGAAAAGAAACATAATATCTAGACAATCAAGCCGTTGACTGAGTTTTCAGGGTGGTAGATGTCTAAGCTAATCTAATCTAGCAACGTGATTTAGCCGATACCGGCAGAAACCGTAAAACGAGAAGTAGCCGATAGAGCTAAATTGATATGCTAGGACTAGATTAACATAGACATATGATAAACATGTAGGCAAATATATCATCCAAACCAGAGCAATCCAAGAGGTCGAATGTACTGATGCAGCCTTGAACGACGCCGACGTAGACGATACAATTGCCTGGACCGGCGGAACATTGGACTTACCCCTTAGCCGGAGATCGAACACCGATGCAACCCTGCGTCGGGTGCCAAGTTCCGCCGGAACGTAAAACAAAAGTAGAAGTAAAAAGGGTGGCGATGCGCCGAATTGTATTGATCGTGGAGATAGATTACATAGACCCCAGGTGTACATATTTATACCCATGGGTTGATACAAGTCCTTGTCGGACAAGAAAGAAACTTTTCTAAAGATAAAAGGAAAAGATAAAGTCCTTATAGGACACTAAACACACTTTCCTAAAGATAAAAGGAAACTAACAAACTATTCCTAATTAATAGATAACTTGCCACGCCGCATTCTCTTTGAACTTGGTCTCTTCTGGATAAGATTCCTTTAGTAGATCATTTTCCTTAACCGAATATAGCAAGAATCCGACAACTGACGACTTGACAACTCTCATCGGCTAATCTCAGGACTTCGAAGCCGATGCTGACTCTAAGCCGATGACTACTCCGGGCTTACCAAATTTCACTGTTAACAGTTTCTTGTTGATTGCAGGATCAAATCAACTGGCACGCTCACACACCCAAAGGCATGTTTTGGACCTGCACTGGAGTTAAGCAGATCTCCCAGGCCTCGTGTTTTTACATCAACACACGCATATAATTTTTCTACATACTTCACATCCATGGGGAATTGATTTCGACTTACCATTAATGAATTTCTTTGTTGCTACTATGATGAACTAGAAGTTAGATAATCATACACCTATGGTCAAAAATATTTGAGATGCATAATTAACTCATGCCAAGCTATGGCTAGAAATTTAAGATAGATAAGTCAGTCGCTAGTTTGGGCTTGTGCTCTTGTGAGTTTGGCCTGGGGCGAGTCATGTGTGAGAAGGAGCTCGGGCTCCCGAGAGGAGAGGTAACTAATGAACAAGCAAGAATTATATAGGTTCGGGCTAACACCCAACTCCAGTTGTGTTAGTGATATCTCTCCTGGTTGTGAAGCATCTTACAAGTTTATCATAGACTCAAAGTAGTTCCTCTTCCTTTCTCCTCTGGATTTTCTAAGAATTTGATAAGTATGCAGATAAGTGTTCTACCCACTAGGTATCGACCTCCTCCCCCTTGCTCCTAGATCTCCTTTCTAGTTCTCTAGGGAAGACCACATGACCAAAGTTCGAGGAAGGAGCTAACTTTACAAGGATTTGGTGTGGAATGTCTTGTCAGCAACTTTTCTTCTCACCCGATCTGTCGGCCTCAGGAAGGCCCAAATAGGATCCACAGGGAACAAGGTGCGGTGAAAGCTCGTGACGCACCCCTGCTTGATGCACGCAAACATGTGGGAATAGGATTCACCACACCCTCCCGGTGGTGGGACCTACGTGACAATGTCTGGTAAAGGATGTTAAAAACAGTGGGCCTAGTGGGAATGCGGTGGTCAACCGCGCCACTTGGTTTCCCACATCCCTATCAAGGTAGGCAAGGGGTGAAGTGATGGGTGGTAGGTGTGGCAGTTGTTGCCCTATCTCTCATGCGCCTCGCCCCGAGGTAAACATCTTGTCACCCTCAAATGGGGAGACATCAAGGGCCCAAGCAGAAATGGCTCATCCATCCAGCTTCAATTAGGAATGTTAGCTCAGGTTCTGCCCCGAAGGCCCTTCGGTGAGCTCCGTCCAAGATTTAAGGAGTTATCCCCTAGCAAGGCCGCTGTGCCCCAAGGCTCGGGGCTCCTCCTTAGCTCCGTGGGGCTTCGCTTGCCATCCTATTGGAGAGCCACGTGTTGACCTGAGATTGGTCTATGTCTTGTTCAATGGCTTAGGGGTGAGGTAACGGGGCATCCAACCGGTCTGCGCCATTGGTTGTAGGAACCATGTTCCCTTGTCACAAAGAGAAAGTGTTTGTCTATGATGGTGGGGGAAACTTGAGTCGTCCCACTAAATAGTTTGGCTATGATTATGTTGTCTTTCTTTGATGTCCCAAGGAGAATCCTGGAGAAGCTGGATTATTCCTGATATTGATTTTTCTGGCAAAGTGACTTACTGAATGGAATACTCTATGTAGACAAAAAAAAAGGGTCTTGGAATCCTAAATCTGGATATCCAGAATAAATGTTTGCCTGGCAAGTGGTTATTCAAGCTTATTAGTGAAGCTAGCAGAACTTGCTTAGAAGAAAATACCTATCAAAAGTACCGTTATTAAGGTGCGAAAACAGATGGGTTATTCTCATTTTTGGACAATACTTGAGGTTAAAACATAGGCTTTTTTTTTCCTGTGGCTCTTTTAAAATTGGCACAATGGATCCCGGTTAAGATTGGACGACTGCTGATTGGGTGATCATCCCCTTAACACTTTATACCCCTACGTTGTATAATCTGATTAGAAACAAAAAATTCTTTCGTGAGTGAAGTGTTCTCCAGGGTTCCACTTGATATTTTTTTTAAAGGGCTTTAGTGGGTAACAATTTGTTAGCATGGCATATTTTTTTTAAAGATTGTGGCAGTGCGTTTGTCTGGAAGGTTCAAAGGATGGGAATTTTTTCAGTGACTTCTATGTACAGATTGCTCATAGTGACCGTGATAGTTTTCAATTCTATTGCCAAGTTGCAAGATTCATTTGGAACACGCATTTTATTATTTTTGGAATTCGACCATCAACTAGCAAGTCTAATCTTCCTGTAATTGGCTAAATGGTATTCAACCTACACTAAAGGATCATTTTTTTTAGGAATCACAACTTTATGTTGTAATGTTTGGTTAAGTAATAATAATGTGGTTTTTAATGGAGCCAAGACTAACTCCTTTTTCAAATCATTTTCAGAGACGAGTTAAATTTGGTTGGAACTTTAGAAACTGAATTTTAGTCTCCCTCGTGTGTCTTGGTCTAAACCTGTGTTAAAGGATGCCTTTGTTGTGTGTTGTTTGTTGGGTCTAAGTACTCTTGTATTATCCTTTGGCTGCGTACACCCATTTGGGTGTAGAGGACATGTTTTATCTATCTATTATCTAAAAAAACACGACCAAAAAATAAGATGATATGATTCATCTATGCAGCTGCGGCCTGAAATTCTGAATAAATGCTTGGTATTCTGCTTTGCATCATAAAACAGACAAAGATACAGCAGCCGATCGCAACTTCACGCCATCATCGTCCCACTTTGTCTCTGGAGCAGTGGCACCGGCAATATATGTCTGTCCACACAACACCACATGTCAATTCAAATTAAATACTGTGACCGAAATAGGATGCCAAAGTCCAGCAATTAAAAAGAAAATGAATCGATAATGTCATTAAATCTCTAAGATAAAGCTACAGATTACAAGCTTTCGGCACATCTGTATATTTGGTCCATTGTTGTTCCCAGAACAGAAACAAACATGAAGACAGGAAAACATTTTCCCAGAACAGAACTGCCCACAAAAACATAAAGGAAATGAGTGAATACCTTTCCACTATTCACAGTAGCCATTACAGCAACATGTTCTTTGTCCACACCAAACTCATAAAAGTAATATGTCCTGCAGAACCAATCTCTCATGACCAAAATCAAAATACAAGAACAATTCTGTCCAAATTGGGACACTTATTGATGAGGGATAAGATTTTTTTTTTGCCTCAAAATAAATAGAAAAGGTCATATAGTACCTTATATCATCTTCATCCTTAACTTTAATTGTTCGAGCTGAGTATAATTTTGCGCCACCTATGAAATGAGACAAAAGAATTTACAAACAAATTGGAAGAGCTAAGTCAGATATTTCCAAATGAGTACATTATGCTAGCACTACATGCTAACAGAATATTTTTGCTTCATGTTTCCTCATATAATTTTTTGAAGTGATGGAAACAAAAAATGGATACAAGTTTATATTTCTTTGAATATTTTAACCAAGCATCAATATTGATCATACAAAGTTTTACGAAGACAACAGTAGATAACGACAAAGTTGTACAATGTGAAAGAAACAGTTCAAAATAGAATGTAGTAAGCATGTGAGTACATTGTGCAACTCATTAAGAAAGCAGTTAATAGTGCACTTCCTTGCTGGACATTTATTTTAAAAATGATGCAAAATTAACCAACATCATAAGAACATTGTTAAGATAAGATGCCCCTTCAATTTGTAAACATGATGTTTTAGATGTTAGGTCATTCAGGTGAAACATCATATATACAGCAGCGCCCACACAAGAAGCTAGATCAAGAGTTAGCAATTTCCTTTGATAAGTGAAAACTGTGAATATGCCGTGTCCTTATTCATCTTAGAAACTTATTTTAAAAGCAAAGTACATCTCTGAAGTCTAAGATAACAGTAATCACCAGGTACAAATATCTTTGATGCCTCCTTTAAAGTGCCCAGGTCTGTTATATCTTTGGCCTACAAACCAATGTTTGTGTCAGAACATAAATTTTTTGGCTGATTGTGTGCAACATAAAATAATTCAAAATAAAAAACATGTCTTTGGGCCTTGATTACAGAGAATTGTTGATATAAAGAAACATTATGAACACTCCTGCACCTACTAGTGCAGTACCAGTTTCTACTAGTCAGTTGGAGCAAAAAAAGTAATGTTTGTCGCCTCTCTGTGAATCAATGCTACTATTGTTCATTATAAATATAATTAATTGGGACTTGACATGTGTTATCAATACTATATTTATTTCTATATAATTCTTATTATTGTTTAGGGGTGTTTATCAAAGGATGGTAAATTATCAACATATAAAGCACCATCAAACTTGTCATCATTTCGTTTTCGTTAATGAAAACAGGAGGATCCTGCCTCTCTTTATCAAAAAAATAAAATAAAATAAAGTGCCATCAATCATACTACCTTGCATAACACAGTGAGACAACTGCACAATATTGTAAATCAATTTATAGTAACTACTAACTAGTGTGCAAAGCTAAGCCGCTTTAATGATTAGGAAATGGGTCGTTGGTCATTCCAAAGAGTTGAGAACATCAGATTATACAAATCATCACATTATCTTGCATCACGACCAACTAAAAAAAAAACGAACCGGTGCTCTACCATTATTTTTCTTTTAGACAAAATAAATGCTGCACATACAGAAAAATTCGGGAGGGAGAACACAAAACAATCAAACTATAGTAACAGAAAAATAACTAGTTGCTGTGCAAACCTCTAGGAATGTGATTTTGAGCTGATTCGATGGCTTAATTACCACGCTTACAAGTTCAGACCTGCATTACAGAAAAATAACAGGGTAATCATCTTAGCTCGTTGAATGTATTTAGTGATACAAATTCTACCCAATTTCTTCCTAGAGCTATTTTCGTAGGCGAATTTGAGATTAATAGTATTGTAAAATTTATAATCATTACGCATATCTCGAAATGCTAGAGAGCTCGATAAGTCAAACGGGACCTTACTTACCTACCTGTCCGGAGACGCGAAGCGAGCAGCGTATGTCCTGGGCTTCGCCTTGTCGCCGTAGTAGGTCATCCCGACGTTGAACTCCTGATTTGTCGATAAAATTCCGAGGTTAAAACCAAAATGTTGAGCTCGCGGCCTCGCGCGACTACAATGCCTGAGGAAACCGAACGCGCAAGGGGACATTGGGAGGAGACGAGAGACCTCGGGCTCCAAGATGTCGTCGAAGGAAGGGGGAACGCGGATGGAGAAGCCGCTGCCGTAGTACTGCGACCACGACTTGGTGTTCGCGATGCCGCCCAGCAGAGGGGAGCCCTTCTTATTTTGGGAAGGCTCCCCCGGTGGCGCCTCCTCGTCGGCGGCGGCGGCGGTGGCCGGACGAACGGAGACCGCAACCGCGGCGGAGGCGGAGGCGATGGCGGTGTGGATGGCGAAGTCGCGGCGCGAGGCGCCGCATGCCGAGGCGGGGCTCCGCCGCCGGGGCGGCGGGTTCTGGGGATACGGAGGCGAGGGGGCGAGGCGGAGGAGCACGGCGGGGGCCATTGCGCGGCGAGGCGGCGGCGCCACTGCCGAGCGGACGGCGCGGAAGCCGCGGCGGGAGAGGCTGGAAGTTCGCCGTGGTGAGAGGAACGCGCACGCACACGGGGTGAACCGATTTTTTGGTGGATAAGCACGGCACGGTGGTGGGCCCTCCTTTCCGCGTGCACGGCCCACGGCCCACGGACCACGGACCACCTCCCCTGCAGAATCAAAGCCCACTATTCACTAGTTCACCTTTCTGTAGCTGAAGAGTCCGATCCATTCACTTGTTATCTACTCACCCTTGGTTCTTCCTCTCTCTCTTCCAAATCTCCGAATCCAGTGCTCCACCCGTCCATCGAGCCCGGCTGAGGGACGGAGACGTCTTCGCCGCCGACGAGGCGGGTCCCGGCCTTGTCAGGTTAGGGCATTCCCAAGCTTCGCTGCTGTCGAGGCACCTAGTCCCGTCGCAGAATTTTTTATTTTTCTCCATATGATTGCATCAGTTTTTCTCAGTAATAACTAGTATATTTTTTGTTGCAAATTATCTTCCATTGTTTTGCTTACCGGGGTATTTGTGGCCCAACAAAAGGTTGATTTTCTCTTGCAGTCAAGATGTCTGTGTCCTGTGTTGCATCGAGGACAATATCTGTATTTTTCTTTCTTTTTGCTGGAAACATGTATTGATCATACAAGTCTGTTACTTTTGAAACTCTTTTACTTGGGTATTGAAGCTAGTAAATAGAAGTTGTATGATGGAAGTGTTATCTGACATCTTTTATGTGGCCAAGATAATTATAGAAGTTCTAAAAAATTAGTGGCATAGATAATTGTATCGCGTGTCACTCCACAGACATGTAGGTCAAATTTGTTTTTTTGGATGGAAGAGTAATAACAAATCCAAATGCAAATGCTTTTGCACCTTGTTAAGTCTGGTTTGTTTTTCTATTTTCTGGTGCGTGGATTGAATTTAACTTTTGTTTGTGTAGTGTTGTATTCGTCATAAATGTATTTATTAGCCATCTCATGTTTCTTTTTGGTCATCAGTTGACCAAACAGAAAGATGTTGGTTCGTTTCTGTCAAGAACGTTTTGTTGTCATCATTGCAATTGAAACTCTTTGTTTTTCTTGTTGCAACAGGCCGCTCAAATTTCCGTAAAAAAATGACATTCACAAATGTAGCATGTTGAGTGTCTAATGGGATTAATCCATCAGATATTCAACCCATAGTCGCATCCTGTTTTATGCCATTAACAGTGATAAATGGTTGTCGAGCACATTGTGTGAAGGGTGATCCAAGCATCTAAGTTGCATCTTTTTTCTTCTTTTTTTTTTTTACTTTATGCATATGCCATATGCTATCCATTAGCCTATCTGTGACAATTTGGAATCTGACCGATCCGTGCCCCGAATTTGTATGTAGGTAAACCATATTCGTGAAAAACAGTATTAAACAGCAAATTGGCAGTGGACACCCTCAGCAACTGCACAACTCTTGTGGCCGAACGTGGAGTTCTTGGTTACGAGGTCCGTCAAAAAGCCCAAGAAAAAAAGTGAGGCAGATCAAATAACAAGCTTGAGTGCTTCTCTATTCGATAGAAGGTTCAGAGAGTGGAAAAAAAAAACAAAAAGCTCGAAGAAGGTCAGGAACATAAGCTGAGGGAGCCATGATGTCCACTCTCTCATTATCTTCCCCACTCTTCCTGGCAGCTCCTCCCAAAGGTAACCATCTCCCAATCCAAGAACAGCTCTTTCTCGCACTACCATGGGCTCCTGCCATTTATGGTAGATAACCCTTGCTGCCAGTAGACGATAGTGACAACTTAGTTACCACACTCTTTCTCTTGAGTGGTGAGCTTTGTTAGGGTGGTGAGTAGTGGCTACTGACTCGTTTGTGCCATGTTTATTGGAGCAAGAGGAATTCAGGACCTTCCATGTGAAACTGCACTAGATCTTGAGATGAGAAGCTAGCACTAATAGGCTTCAGTTGTGCTTAAGCCATGTACTTGCTGATATGTAAAGCGAGATAAGGGAACTGTCCTTCATTGGAATAGTTTGCGGTGGTGGTGACTGGTTGATTACCTGCCTCCTCCATATACCAGAAATTATTAACAGAGACTGTGAAAGGTCACAGCTTTGTTGCAGCTAGGGTCATGTCTCACATGTATTTGCTATTTTTGTGATCAGTCCTGAATTAAAAAGTTGCCGTTGTTTACTACGATATGATATACTGCATTGCTGTTATCATAATGTTGTACATGTGAGGTGATTTGTTTTTTGTTCTACTTCTGCAGTTCAAGGTGTGATTTCGTGTCGAGCGGCTTTAGCTAGTGCATCATGGAACTCTGTTATGGTACATGGTGGGAGGCAACGGCGTGCAACAATAGTAAACGTGGTTAGACTTTGTATAGTTTACCCTTCCTTTTTAGCACCTCTTGATGTGGTTCAATTTAAGTTGTCTTTTTCATGATTGAAGAGGCTTAAAATTTATTTCACGAAATAATGGCATTGATGCACCAATTAAATCATCCAAGGGGAGCGGATATAATGAACCAGCATAGTTTATAAACATTTCATGCACAATTGCATTAAAAATCCTGGCTTGCCCAACACCCAAGAATTTAATTTACCAGTGAAATGGAATTTGAGTTTGTTTTCATTCTACAGATTTTTCATGTGCACAAGATAACTTAGTTCACATTTTTTTTTATGATCTGGTAACCTGTGTCCTTCTTTTCAGCTTGGAAGAAAGTCGAAGACCAGAGAGACTATCGTCCCTGACCCTGACTATCGATTGCCAATTGTTATACTTGGTGAGCCCCGTGATTATTGAGTAGAATATTTCTAGATTTGTACTTATACGTGAAGTCTAAAGATGCATTAGTTGTTAGCATTGCGATTCCTCAATTCAACTAATTAACTAGTATTATCCAAATACAGGGATAGCTGGTGCATTTGCATATGCAGACAATCTTCTTGCTGCTGCACCTGTAGGCCTACTGGGGTGTCTTCTTTTGTTCCAGGTCAGCGCAAGCCTGATTAAGCTCTGGTTTTATAATATCTGCTTAAGATGTTGTGATACTATCTTTTCTCCGTAGGATATAATCTTTAAGACCATATTGAGTAATCTGAAATCAAACTTCATGGACCATACTGCATGAATGCAGTGTTGCAAGAGCTCCTCTTGCTAATTAATTCAAATTAAAACTAGTTGTTCATAAGCACTTCCATCATCAACTAGCACCCATGGCTTATTTTTTCGTCTCTTTTTGAAGAGCACCTTTTTTTTTGCCTTTTTGTACTTTGATTGAATTTTATTGGTCATTTTTGAGCAATCGTTTGCTTCATTTTCATGCTAACACGGATCTCAATGTTTTGCAGACTACTAGAGTACGATTTGTCTTCGATGATGAGGCCCTGGTTTGTGTTCTCTATCTTCTCAAGTAAAATACTTATGTTGCTAAGTAAATGCATTACTGCTAAGATCTGTAAATCTGTAATGATTTACCTTTTTTTATAAAAAATCTGTTATGACTCTCTGTCACATGAATGATGTTATTCTTTTCACATCATAGCTTATGTGGATTAAGGTGTATTTCTGGGTCTTCATATCTATAATTTCATGAGTGTCCTTGATTCTATATTTGTGTTATTGCAGGAAGTGAAAGTGGGCGATCAGTTAGAGGAGTCAGGTGAAAATGTATTTGTCGGTGGCAAGAATCGTTGGAGGTAAGTAGGCATGTATATCTTTTACACCATATGTGGTCCAGAACAGAATACTTTTGGCAAGTCAGTCGAAATGATTTCGTAAGGGAAAGATATGTCAAAAACTAAGCATTAGTTGCTTGTTCTATGTCCATAAAACTAAAACATGTCGATCACGCGCCAAAGGTCGGGCTATCTTGCTCGATAAATCGCTTTGATCATGGTAACAGTAGTAATGCCTGATAATTGAATGCACCCACAGGTACTCAACATTTGTGAATTGGGAACTGTGGTGGCCACAATTTCCTATCTTGGTTTATTTCAAGGAGACCCAAACAAAACCCGAAGGGCAAATTCATTTCTTCCCTGTGATTTTTGTAAGTCCACTAATTTTACTAACTTTGTTGTTGTATCATATGGAATTTGATTTGGTGTTGGCGTGTTGCAACACAGAACGGCCGACAGCTTTATGATGCTATGGTGGAGCGTGCTGGACCTTCGGAAACTAGCGGTCCTAAATAGTGAGTGCTTCCCTCAGGGAGGCCATGAGTTGGGCTCCATGGATCCTGTAGATTTAGTTGATACATTTTAGAGGGACAAGACCTACTACTATGATGTACAATATTAGAACATGCAATTAACCTTTTAAGAATGATGTACACAGTATATATACTCTGTACTTCTGTATGACTATGTATAAAAAAGGCTGATTTAATGCAACACCAACACGGCATATTCCAATCTAAGTCAATACGCAGGAGTTTACCTTCTTATATACTTCCTCCGTTTAACACTGTAAGTCATTCTAGCATTTACCACATTCATATTGATGTTAATGAATCTATATAGATATATATGTCTAGATTTATTAAAATCAATATGAATGTGGAAAATGTTAGAATGACTTACATTGTGAAACGAAGGGAGTAGTTGCATTTATTATTAACTAGAAAAAAATATCTGTACGTTGCAACGGGTGAAGATTATTTTAATCTTATTATTATTATTTTACGGTTTAGTTAAGGTAAAATTCACTGTAGTATTCGTTTAGATATATATTTTTCTAGAAAATCATGAGCTATAATTATGAGTCCGATCATCTCAAGTTAGCATGTGAGTTTTTTTAAAGAAAGTTCTTATACATCTCCTTCTGTATTTTCAAAACCGAACGAATTTAAAACCCGACTCAAATACAGATTTGTATTTCTAAAAGCGAACGAACTTAAAAGTTGACTCATACATGGATGACGTAACAAAGTATCGGTAAAAACATATTTAATTTTTATAATAGTAGAGATAGAGATAGAGAAGAGATATGCCAGATGTTATAGTCCATCAAATTTGTATCGGTGGAATTGTATGCGGTAATGGATTTGGGTATTGAACCAATGTTTTGCCATACAGCTGATCCGAAAAAAGGTTTATAGCAAATCCGGAAAAATAAACATAACTACTACTAAAAACACGGCAAAGAGGTTTATTTTTTTATCCTATGCCATGGGTAATTTACTAGCAATATAAAAGGACAAATATACGTCTGGTTAGAGAAGAGTAAGAGGGAGCAGAGCGACCGTCCTGGAGGCAGAAACCCTTGTGCAGTTCTGCCCTTGTAGTATGGCGACCAGACATGGCTGTCCACGCTGGCCCCTCGCCTTATCCGGCTCCAGAATCCCATCCACCCAATCACAATCCAACCCACGCCATTGCAACCAAATTTCCAATACACAAAACAGCAGAAACTCTAGTGATCACAAGCTCAGCTCAGCTCAGCTCCCTCCTTCTCCCCGGAGAAGCAGCGGCCGGCACGGCAGCAATGGAGACCCTCCTCTCCCCCTCCACATTGCTCTCCCCTCTCCGCGGCTCCAAGAAGAAGCCGGCGAGCCCCGCCGCGTCGGCGTCGTCGTCGTCGTCGTCTCCCGCCAGGTCCGTCGTCTCCTGCGCGCTCAGGAGGCAGCAGCCGCCGCCGCAGGCGGTCGCCGCTTGGCGCGGAGACGGCGGCCGCGGTGGCGGCGTCGGGAGCTGGGCGACGTTCTTGCAGCACGGCCTGGCCGCGGCGGCGCTGTCGCTGGCAATCAGCATGGCGCCGGCGCCCGCGCCGGCCGTGGCGTCGGAGTTCGACGTGCTGAACGGCGGGCCGCCGGAGGACACGTACGTGGTGGACGACGCCGGCGTGCTCAGCCGCGTGACCAAGTCCGACGTGAAGCGGCTCGTCCGCGACCTCGAGTCCCGCAAGAACATCAGGATCAACTTCATCACCGTGCGCAAGCTCACGGTACGTACGCCATCACATCGCATCACATCACGCCGCCGCCAAGCCACCGCGCGTCTCTGACCACCTCGCCGCCGGCGCGCGGCTCGTCCGTGACGTTAATTCCTTGCAGAGCAAAGCTGACGCGTTCGAGTACGCGGACCAAGTGCTGGAGAAGTGGTACCCGACGGTGGAGGAGGGCAACAACAAGGGCATCGTCGTGCTCGTCACCAGCCAGAAGGAGGGCGCCATCACCGGCGGCCCGGCCTTCGTGCAGGCCGTCGGCGACGAGATCCTCGACTCCACCGTCTCCGAGAACCTCCCAGGTTAGCCTTCGCCCCAGACGCCGGCGTGCTCTGCCGTTCACGACGCAGAACAAAACCAACAGGTCTGATCGTGCATGCACTGCAGTGCTGGCGACGGACGAGAAGTACAACGAGGCAATCTACACGACGGCGAAGCGGCTGGCGGCGGCGATCGACGGGCTGCCGGACCCCGGCGGGCCGACGTTCAAGGACAACAAGAGGGAGTCCAACTTCAAGACGAAGGAGGAGACGGAGGAGAAGCGCGGCCAGTTCACGCTCGTCGTCGGCGGCCTGCTCGTCATCGCCTTCGTCGTGCCCATGGCGCAGTACTACGCCTACATCTCCAAGAAGTGAACAGCAGCGGCTACCTGTTCTTTCCAACAAAAAAAGAGAGAAAAAATGAGCAGCATATGGTGCTGCTCTGTACAGTAAATTTGCTCAGGAGATGGCTAAATCTCCCGGTTTTCTGTCGGAATTTTAGAGGCGAAACAGAGAATTATGATGAACACAGGTGCACCACCGTGCCGGTTAATTTTTATTGTAGTAGCATAACTGAGGCACTGAGCAATTAGGTGCAAATCAGCACTTCCTTACCCCGATTCCTCTTCTTCTATAACCATTTTTTTTGTTGTTAGTTTTTGCTCTGTTTTATCCTTCCAGCAATGCTGCAACAGTTCTTGCAAAATGTGCAAACTCTCCAGCAAAAATTTCATGCTACAACAATGCAACTAAACCTGTCTTTTAGTTTTTTTTTATTATTTTTTTTAGAGAAGGGTATTTTCTACCCGGCCTCCATATCCAACCGGATATATACGGCCATTGAGATAAGAAACTTAGCCCCGCAAACAACTCAATCTGAAATTCGCTCCATAGGAGATTTGAACTCAGGACCTTTGGGTACTACTCAGGTCACTGTAACCCCTACATGTCTTTTAGTTAATCACCGCTGAGGCTTTGTAGCAGTAGTAGTCGAAGTATATATGAACAACTGAAAAGAGCTATATATGTGATTATTATCTATTGACAAGTAACAAATACAACGTTTTTTTTTTATCAAATACAACACCTCGTAGTTTATAAAAGCGAAAAAAAGATCTGCTCATTAGAACTTCGGTTTTATGAGAAATGGCATCTTGTCAGCAAATGGAGGGTCAGAGTATCTCCCTGTAAGGATCTGCGACGCGATGTGGAAATTCGCAGCTTCTGTGTAATGGATTCCATCCCAATTGACAAATTCTGTACTGTCCTTGCACCCTTTGGCTGTTACAAGATTACCATTCAGAGACGCTGTCTGCCCACAAGGTACTCTACTGTCATAGTTCAAGGGTGGCCCTCCATATCCACAGCATGCTTGGATGGGATTCTCGAACCCTGTAATAATGCAAAGGCAGAAATTAAGAGTGTTGTTTGAAGGGATTATTGTTTTGAAAGCCTACTGCTTAATATTCTTATGAGCTAGCTACAATAGTCATCACTGATCCAGCATGTGTCCAAATGCATAGTAGAAGAAAGCCAAAGAAAGAAAATGTTGTTGTGTAGTGTCTTGTACAATTCCATTGTCTTTAAAAAAAAGTGTAGCAGTGCAAGGGAATGAGCAAATAGCGAAAAAAAAAGGGTAAAAAGCATCTTTATTTCCCTCAAGCGAGGTTCATAATTAGAAGCCTAGTTCAGGACTGATGGTGGCAATTCATCATAAGTCTTCTAGTTGAAGCATGTTAATGTTAAAAAAAAGCTCCCAGCATTGTAATATACTGACTATAGAAATGATAAATCATGTATTTGATTTCAAGATAACCAAACAATGAGGAAATTAGATAGTTTGGTTGCATACCATAGCGCGAATAATTAGCGATCAGGCTGTACTTGATGGTGTAGATGTCAACATAAGTGATACTAGCCCCAGCGAATTCACCTCTTAACTTTGTGCAAAGTGCATGCAGCTGTAAGTTGAAAAGCTTTGCAACACGATTATGCTTTGCTACACAACGAAGTTCATCCAGCTGGGATCGGTCTTTGCCGAAAAAAGCTACGTTTTGAGGTAAGCAGCCAAGAGGACCTGTGTTGTGAATCCAGAATTTCCTGGCACCTTGCTCATATAATTTCTGAAAAAGAAGGAAAACGTTTAGAGTAGGTCCTTTCCCAATCAAACAGTACATAGTTGGACCAGTATGGAAAAATGGCAAACTGATTATTTTTTGGCCAAGGCAAACAGATTATTTTTTGAAGACTGAAAACCATATTCTACAAACTACTGAAGACCATTGAAGAAAAAAAAAAAGGTTCCATGCACTGCAAAAGCTTAAGAATGAAAATACTGTGTATACAAACCTTCAGCCCAGTTTCGAATTCCAACAAAATAGTCGGAATGGATGCAGCAACTTGGTCCTCTGTTTTCCAGTAGAATTCACCAGCAAGGTCATTTTGACCTATGTCAAACGTGTAAAGTCCCCGCGAAAAGTAATCCGACTGAGGAATATATCTCCTGTACGTATCTCCTGCAAAGTAAATAAATAAGATTCCATCACTAATAAAGTTACATAGCCTATATTAGAACATGGAAAATCAAAGACACCAGGTGGTTAGGTTAACAGAGGAGAATATCATTCTAATTCTTGTACTGATATATACTTCCTCCGTCCCAAAATGAAGCCATTTTTGAGGTTGGCACGGGTATTAAGAAAGTAAGTGAGAATGATTGGAGGAAGTGTGTGATTGGTTGAAAAGAGAAAGTAGGTGAAGAAGAATGGTTGTGATTGGTTGAGAGGAGGAGGTAGGTGAAGAAATAGCTTCATTTTGGGACAAGACACTGTGCTAGAAATAGCTACATTTTGGGACGGAGGGAGTATTGATTAAAAAAACATAATGGAACTACGAAAAAAACTTGCTAAGTGTTAAAATCTAGTCACTGCAAGGATTCCAAAAAAACTTGTTATCATTGCGAATGAACAATGATAAATAATGGAAACTTCTACAATTTTCCAGAAACACAATATTGGCCTAAAATGTTCTGAAAATTTTCATTCACTGAAACTCACTCAACGTCTCAACTTTATGTCCTCTTTAATTTATTTTAAGTTTGATTTGTTAATCATCTTGGAGTATTTTCTAGGTGCAGTTCTTTATTTTCCCCTATTAATCCTATGTAACACAAAATTGCCACCTTCAGTCAAAATTCATTCGGTCTGCGTGACTTTTATGGGTACATACTGCAGAAGACATTTTCCATTTTGCTTTGTATCCACAACATCTAAAGATGTGACGTATGGAAAACCTTGCCATACCTTTAGATAGAAGCTTAGTAACTTTGTCCTTGAATGCAAAGAATTGCTTAATCTGAAGACCAAATGAAAATGGGCTGACAGATGTTGCCGTTGCTGGAGTAATTGAACAGCCAGCTTGAGCAAAATTAACACCCGCACGTAAGTTAGGTGCACCAACAGAATCCAAATATGCATTGAGGAACGGCATATCCATTGCATCCACTGCAGGAGGAAGTTTAAAATCATGTCAGATAGTGGCCCACATAAGTTTCTCATGTGCAAAAGTGTGAAAATAGAATTTCCTAGTCATAGTAGCGAAATGCTTTTTTTGAAATTTATAGTAGCGAAATGCTATTGCTATTCCTATCAAAATGTAATGCATTAACCCACTAAAGCAACAATATTTAGAATCTAAGGTTCCAGGTTTATAGTGATTATATGAAAACTATATCACTAGACCTATTGTTCAGAGGAATGTTTTCAGAATACTAATCTTCTACATGGACCATAATTGTAGATTGCACAAACCAATTGCAGGTCACATCTCAAAAACTGTGAAAGTTAGTAATGTGAAATAACGAAGAGAAGGAGGTGGGGGGAGGGGGTGATCAATAGCAACTTGTGATAGTGTTTTCTACAACTAAAATTGTGCTGGCCATTTAGATTTCCTTCATAGTTACGCCTCCAACTCCCATGGTTTCTTAGTGACACCACCACACCAACTCCAATAATAAACTGAAAAGCAGTAGCCTAGTTAAACTAAATAAATGGAAACACATTACACACGGTAGTTGGTGGGTCACTCTTAAGTACACCCAAGAAATTAGGCACTAGGCAAGTAGGCAGCTGGATGGAGACAGAGCAAAGCTCACCGCGAGTCAAAGCATAAAACAACAGTGACCTAATTTCCCCAAATGCGATGAAACCGGATCAAGAAACAGCACATCCTTTCCTCCAGATCTAACGAATATCCCACCAAAATGCTGCAAGTAACAGCGGTACAAATGGCACGAATTGGACCACCCACATCCAGCACAATTCCTCCGGTGTTAGAACAGAGTACACTGCTATCATTGACCATCGGCAATTGATGCCCCAATCCCCATCCTAAATCTTCTAACCACCATCACGGCCGTTCTGGTGATCTGGTATGTTCTGCAAAGGACAGTCCTAACTAATTCGCCCTTTTCCCCAACCACCGTGCGGACCAAATGGCCTCACTGCCGTCAAGATCGACGACGAACAGTATCACCAGCACGCCGATTCTTTGTTTCTTGCAACACTAGATTGGGTACCAAGAACCAATCGGCGACGAGCAACGATTTTTCTGATGCAATTCAGACAGAAGCCACATCGCCGATGCCCCCGGTTACCATGTGGGAATAAGATTGCAACAAGCAATGTGAACGACGCACTGCCACCCACATGAAGAATCTACAAGGAAATGGGTGAGAACAAGAGAGGTGAGCTTACTGAGGAAGTCGATGATGAGGCGGCCGTCGCAGAACCGGCCGGAGGGGGAGCCGAAGAAGGTGGAGCCGTAGGGAGGCGCGATGGACTCGAACCCGGCGGCCACGCGCCCTCCCGTGTCGGAGTTGGAGTCGCCGAAGTTGAACACCGCCGGGTAGTTGAACTCCGGCGACGACGCCTCGAGCTCCTCCGCGCGGCCGCCGAGGCAGAGGGCGGCGGCGGCGACGAGGAGCACCGCCGCAGCATGCGGTGGCCCGCGCATGGTGGCTTGCGCTCGCTAGCTAAACTCCACTCTGCTTCTGCTCTCCTGCTCTTGCTTCTCCAAGCGAAGAGGAGGAGAAGGTTGCTGATGCTTGAAGCTCTTAAGCAGTGGAGATTTGATTTGAGTTGATTTTGGGTTGTAAAGGGAAGACCTGGCCACCCATGATTAGTGTACTGCCAAGCTTTTTACAATTTTACTGCTATTTGTTTTTGCATTTTAGCCCTTGTGCTTTTGGGGCTTTGCGTTAGATATGGCAGTATGGAGAGATGGGAGGTAATTACATAAATTTTGGAGGGGTTTTGTGAAGCTGGTTTCTGAAATTGGAAGCGAAGAGAGGTGAGCTAGAGGCCCTAGTAGAGCTTGTTCCGAAATTCAATCTTGTGTAAAGCATTCAGCTCACTGCATTGCACGGAAAGATTGCCGTTTTATACTACCTTGCTGCTTTCGTGAGAATCGGAACAAACATAACGTAGCTGTGCTTGTGCTTGTGCTTGTGCTCTTCTCTCTCTCACACACACATAGAAAGAGGAAAACTGGAGATGGAAAACCAAAACTTTCTTATGACTAAAATTCCACGCAAGTTCTAGATGAACCATGTAGGTTTCATGACTTCATCTGAGATTTCCTATTACTAGAAAGTAGAAATTAATCATGCATTCTTTTCCTCCCCGAAATTATACACTACTCATACGTTAGAATGAAAATATTAGCACGGGACGAAAACGAACTGACTGGAAGGGTGCAGAGGTAACCCCAAAAATCACTATTGGTGTGGTGGAAATGAGGGGCATAGGTGGGGCAGGAGCCAGGAGACGGTGAACAACAGTGAGAGGTGGACTAGTAGGCGACAGAGTAAGAGAGCGAGTGTTTCGCATCGCATTGCACCAATACATCCAATATATAACACGCACCGGCGGTGTCTGGCCGACTGGCCCTAGGCCTCACCCTCACGATGCGGTTGCCGCGCAGCTTTACCCGAGTGTCACCACTTGCGTGCGGAAGTGCCCATGCAGCCATGCGCAACGAGGCAACGATCGGGACCAGGTGATAATTTTTTTTAATTTTGCTTTCGTCAATGCCTGCCTATTCGTTGCATTTTCCCGTACGGATTCGGTTGCCTTGTCGTGTCATGCGTTCTCAGGCTCCATGATACAGCTATAAAATATAGCACCATAAAGAGATTTATTTAAATTTGTAATATTATAATGTATCATATTTCATATAAAGTTTATTTATTTTGGGAATGATGGAGTAGAGCCTAGCCAACTACATGCGTTCGCCGAAATGCCTGGCCAAATCGGGGCATCCTTTGAGAGTTTGGATTAAAAGGTTGAGGTGAATCTCAGAGTAAATAGAAGTAGGAATGATAGAACTGCCAGGGCGTTCACAATGCAGTGAGGTGGCATTCTTTCCCCAACCATCCACATCAGATATTCCACCCCCTCTCCCAAGATGCGTGTGTGGCGTTCCTAACCGAAGTCCGCGGAGCCAAACTAAGTCACATGTTCTTCGTCAAAACTTGCAGGTGCAGGATGAGGTACGGGTTGAGCGGCGCATTGGGAGAGACCGTGGCCTAATGCGACACCCCCACATCCGTGTGAAGCGGCAGCGGTCGCCGGCGAGGCCACCGCCCCAATCAGCTGCATCGTCCCCAAAGCGGTGCCGCTCGCCAGATCCGACGAACCCGAGGCTAGATTTGGCGAGCTCGATGGGGCAGCAAAACTACGGGCATAACTAAAGTGTGACATGAAAAAATGTCTTACACTTCCATACTTGAAAAATCAAAAGTATTGTAACCACTACAAGTCATCAGCTTGATACGCCAATGCCAAAGATTGAGTATGAGTAGTGACGCCGTGTTTAGTTCCAAAATATTTCTTCAAACTTCCAACTTTTCCATCACATCAAAACTTTCCTACACACATAAACTTTCAACTTTTCCGTCACATCGTTCCAATTTAAACCGAACTTCCAATTTTAGCGTGAACTATAAACACAGCCTGAGCTGTGGAGTTGTGGTTTTGCGGATGTATACAGGAGATCACATTGTGTTCCACCATCAAATGGGCTAACTCGGAACGTCAAGACCATCTTTGCAGTGCCAAATACAAAATAAATCAATGTAGTGCCAAACTATTTTTGTATTTTTGCACTTTAGACCTTGTCTTAAAGGTATTTTCTGTGGAGGTTGGATGGCGCAGCAGCGTGGTAAGCTACCGTAATTAAGGAGATTTTGGAGGGGTACGATGGAATTGATTTCTGAAATTGTAAGCAAAGAGAAGTGAGCTAGAGCCTAGAACTTGTTCCAAAATTGTGTAAAGTATATTCAGCTCACTGTATTGCGCGAAAAGATTGCCATTGTACACTTTTTGCTGCTTTCGTGAGAATCGGGGTAAACAGAACAAAGAAAAATGAGACACTGAAATTACCCATAAATATTTTTTTTTGCTGGGATACCCATAAATATTAGATGAAACCAATATGATTTCTTCTCAAATTTCCTAGTACAAGAAGGTACAAATCCTGCATCCCAAAACCATGACGAGTAATCTTTGTGGAAACATAAGCACGAAGCCAAACGAACGAACTAGAAGAGCTGACGAAAAAATTTCACTGCGAAAAGGTAGTTGCCTAGTTGGCGATAAGGAACGCTGAACACCAACAGAGTAGAAGCACTAGAGTTAATAGCACTGTAGTCCAACCGGACAGCGCGAGTGTCATGCCACCGTGGCACCACATGGCGGCCCATCGCTGATGTGGCAGGAGGATGGCATCAACATTACTGCCATTGCCCCCCCTCCCCCCCACGGCGCCAATAGAGAATGTCACGGGGGAATATCACCGAATCCCAATCCCCCCTTCCCCCACCCATTTGCCCCCCCTATCTTTTGTCTTAGCCTGAGCGCATCTCGTGCACGCGCGCTCTCTCTCTCTCTCTCCACTCTCACAAATCCTCAAATCCACTTGATTTGGAGCCATTTTTCATAGGATTTTTAAGGAAAATCGATGAGCAAGGTATACTCCTCCATTCCCCTTTTTTTTCGTTTTAATCGGTGGAATTTGTTGATTGGAGGGTAACCCTAGAACCTATTTTTTGCCCAATTTCGTGATCTTGACAGTTGAAATTGGGGATTTGATGATTGTAGTGTTACATGCATGCAATGTGCTCGTTGGTGCTATGTTTTTTCAAGTACATATATGTGGTAATGATATTTTTTAGTTAAGACATGGATGGATGGTTGTATGGAAAAATTGATTTAGGTTCAATCTGTAGTAGCAAAATTTGTCTCTCCTCTGTATAATACGTACCTTCAAATTTAACCTAAATCAATTTTTCCATACAACCATCCATCCATATCTCAACTAAAAATTATCATTACCACATATATGTACTTAAAAAAATCATAACACTAATAAGCGCACTGTACACATGTAACACTACAATCATCAAACCCTCAATTTCAACGGTCAAGATCACTATATTAGACAAAAAAAAATAGGTTATAGGGTTATCCTTCGATCTACAAATTCCACTAATTAAAACGAAAAAACAAGAGAGGGGAATGAAGGGTATACCTTGCTCTTCTCCAAGAAATCGCGTGAAAAACAACTCCAAATCGAATGGATTTGAGGAGGAGGATTGGGGGGAGGGGGGAGGTGAGCAGTGCCGCGCACGACCTAGGTAGCGAATGGTGAAGAAGGGGCAGGGGTAGGGCCCACACGGTTTAAGTGCGCCCAGCCCTGGAGGGAGAGCGCCAGCAGTGTTGGCATGGGGAGGAGGGGCAGTGCTAGCAAGATTGACACGGTGGCATCGTCCTCTTGCCACGTTAGCACTTGGTGGCCATGTGGCATCATGATGGCATGGGGCCACAGCAGTGGTCTAAAAGAAACCATTAAAAGAAACCATTTATAGAACAAGTTGTTTAAGAGTTTATTTATAAAATAAGTTTTTAAAAAGAGTTAAATTGTAAAAAAAATTCAGGCACCGATGTCTGGGCAGGCTGCAGGCCCCTCCACCTCCAGGCTCCTTTTTTGTCTATTGCACAGCTTTTTCCAGTGTCGCCACTCGCGTTGTCGCGCGCCACGCCCGCCAAGGTACCAACCCCTACAATTCCACATGGCCCGGCGCAAGACATTTGCCATTTCGCCGTGAATGCTGATGCTGCCCCAACGATCACGACCAGGATAAGATATTTTATCTTTATTTTAGGTCTATTTATATCCCCATAAAAATTTTATAGCCCGTCACAACGAATGTTTGGACATATACATGTAGTATTAAATATAAACAAAAAAAAACTAATTACACAGATTACGTGTAAATTGCGAGACAATTTTTTTAAGCCTAATTGCGCCATGATTTGACAATGTGGCGGTACATTAAACATTTACAAATAATGGATTAATTAGGCTTAATAAATTTATCTCGCGGTTTACAGCAGATTTTGTAATTTGTTTTGTTGTTAAACTATAATTTAATACTTTAAATGTGTGTCCGTATATCCGATGTGACACGCTAAAACTTTACACATACTCCCTCCGTCCAAAAAAAAGATAAACCCTGATTTCCGTGTTCAACGTTTGACCGTCCGTCTTATTTAAAAAAATTATGAAAAAAATTAAAAAGATAAGTCACGCATAAAATATTAATTATATTTTATCATCTAACAACAATAAAAATACTAATTATAAAAATATTTCATATAAGACGGACAGTCAAACGTGAGAGCGGAAACTCAGGGTTTGCCTTTTTTTTTTTTTTTGACGGCGGGAGTATGTATCTAGCTTTGCTTTCATTACTGCTGTCTGCGTCAGGCCGTGCCGGTGCCGTGCCGTGCCGTGCCGGTGCGGTGCGTTCTACTGCAATCTACAGCCTCCATTGTTCGTTTAGTTACGAGCCTATCCAAAAAGCCGACTAGCGGAGTCGCTAAACAGCTAAACTATAGCCTTGTTTAGTTTCAAAATAATTATTTAAACTTTCAACTTTTCCATCACATCAAAACTTTCTTACACACATAAAACTTTTAACTTTTCCGTCACATCGTTCCAATTTTAACCAAATTTTCAATTTTAGTGTGAACTAAACACACATCGTTTTAATTTTAACCAAACTTTCAATTTTAATGTGAACTAAACACAGCCATGTACTACTCCGTAGTATGACCAAATCAGACCATCGTTGGCAAAATTTGTCTTAGGCTGTGTTTAATTTTTGCAAAAAAGTTGAAAGTTTAGTGAAAGTTAAAAGTTTACGTGTTTAGAAAAGTTTTGAATGTGATGTAATGGAAAATTGAAAGTTAAGAGTAATTGGGGGTGAACTAAACACGGCCTTAAGCAAACTTCGGCACCCACGAATATACTATGGCAGCCAAAGGCAAAACTGACGGCGCAAGAAATCTCCAGTTCTGCACCACATCGGTGTCAGCGCCAACGGCGCGCAACAAATGCAGGTCCTTGTAAACGTTGCACAGAGAATACACCGTACTATGCCAGCGGCAGTGTGCAGTGGCATACCTGCACCTGAAGGCGGGTGCGGGATACACACTGAAAATGGGATTCCTTGTGAAAATACTAGTACAATCACAAGACCAACAATATGCATTAATAGTTCCAAACAAATCAGCTCTTGCATTATGAACTGCTGAGAAGTTGCAAATGGTGCTTTGAGATGTTTTACTTAATCCATTACTGAGCAGTACTCCACAGCCAAACGTCGCCAATAGACCCACAGGCCACATGGCCACATTGGCATGCTTGGCACACATAGGAGTACTGCAGTAGGGATTTCACATGACCTGCAGGAAATTGGGGAAATGACCACATTTTAAGTGGGGCATAAATCCCTCGGCCCACTTCCAAAGAAAACACACTGTAACCACTGCAGCTTGGTACGCCAAATGTTGAGTATGATTAATGAGCTGTGGACTAGTGGAGGCCCCCATTATGTTTCACCATCAGACGGGCTAACTCAGTAGATGTGCTTACATATCATGTTAACAGTGTTTTAATCTCAAAAACATATAGTGCAGTCGCTTGATAAACAGCTCGGCCAGTCCTCAATGTAAAGCCTAGTTCCAGATCCGAACAAAATCGAACCCTTCAGCTTGAACTTATACCACAGAAGACCCATCGAATTATTCGCAGTACAACACTTGAGAAAATGCATTAGCATTACTTCTAGACCCTGGAGGTCTGTGCATAACAATCGAGCTGATGGAACAGGTTAAGCATTATACCTCTGATATATCATGGTTGGCTAACCATATTTTGTTCCTTGTGCCAAAGAACGACGTCCTTGTAGGGCAAATCTCCTCCGAATATATCAAGGGCACTCCCAACCGTAACATCAACTCGACTGTTGCCTGCTCTTTTTATCCTCTCTAGGTCATCCATTGTAGACACACCCCCAGCATAAGTTACAGGTATCTACAGAGCCAAAGATACTATTATGAGTTCATAAACAATAGAACTAGGAACATTCAAATACGGTTAAAGCAAGGTTTTATTGGTTTGCAAACTGGGAGCCTGCCTGCATGCATGATCACTGTCACAACCTATTGACCTGCCTAAACCGTATCTGAACAGCCCGAGTAAATGTCCATCTCCCAAAAGTTGTATCAGCATGCCCATATTTATATCTAAATGGCTACCAGTGCTTTGTTCGACAATTGTTTTGTTCAAAAGAAACAAGGATGGTAAAATGCCTAGCTGCAGCTTGATTTAGCATCTTGAGTTTAAGAATTATGAAGGCCATGGTCATCTTGTTATATGGAGTAGCTTTTGAAATAACATTGCCTGTGTAGCATTTTTCTTCGCTTTCAAAAATCTAGATGCTCAACTACAATGCAGTCAATTCAGCCATTTAAATACTTGGTTTATTGACAGCTTTTTCAATTATAGATAAAGCAAGAATCTAAATTTCACAAGAAAGACTAAACTTGCAGATACAGAACAAACATTAAGGATGGAATTAAGAAACAAGAAAAAGCTGGAAGAATTTAAATTAATGAATCAAGAATACAATTGCACGTACAGGTGAATAACGTCCCAATAGTTCGACAAGTTCTTCATCAATTCCTAACCTGCAATTGCCAAACTAGCTTAAATCAGAAAAGATAATGGTACAAAAAGAAAGCTGTTCACTACTAAGTGAATACACAAGTGAACTGGATATACAAATTAACAACCTATCCAAGATATGAGCAGTTGCACTACTGAAGAACACAAATAAGCTTTTGAACATTAGAACTCATTCCAATCAAGACAAAGAAAAAACTAAAAAGTGAAAAAAAAAACCTGCTTCTATTGGGACGATCATGTTAACTTCATTTGCTCAATGATGTGTCATTAAATTTAAATACCTAACTGAAAGCACAAAAAATTGGATCTTTACCGAGTAATTGGTTATGAAACTAAGGGTGAACAGTAGCATATAGAAAGTTTTGGCAGACAGACATTTAAAGTCTTATTACAATATTTCATGCTGCCATTACCAATCCAATTCTATCAAGAAAGCATGAAACAGAGAAAAGGTATAAAACACACCTTTTCCCCTCCACATCAACACCATGAACCAAAAATTCATCTGCATAGGCAGCAAGATGTTTTAATGTTGGCTCATCCACAAAGACATCACTGAATTTCTGCCATCTGTCAGTCACGATGGCATATCTTCCATCCTATCAAGAAATATTATTGTAAGAACGTAATTAAGTATCAAAGTACCTGTCAATAATAAGATAATGACAAACACATTAGGGTAATCCTAATTGTTCTTTCTTGTATTTACAGAAGAGAATGTAGCTAGCTTGTGTTTCTCTAACTTCGATATAAACTATTAAAAGGACTAACTTGTTTAGGTTAAATTTTATCTTGTTTCAGGGGTAAAATGCTCATATCTGATGGTATGACTAATTATCTTTATCAGTAAAAATCATTCTGAATATGAAAAGGAATACATGGAGTAATTACACCTAAAATAGTGATATACACTTATTGTTGTTGGTTCATGCTCTTGGATGTCAGTTTATCACAGAAACCAGTTAGTTGGAATTCAACTATACTTTGGTATATTGTATACTGCTCTCTATATAACTATCAGGGCATACATAGTGCAAATTATATTTCACAATCATTAAACCATTTTAGGTTAAACTTGAACAGATCAAATTGAAAAATTCAAGAAAGGGACCCTCATGAACTGTTCTAAGCGAAATTCCAAAAAGATGTAATCAACCATGCCACTGTTCTAACACTTTTTGCCTATGAAATGCCATGCATGCCATGCGTTTGGAATTGTCCGTATGCCGACATGCAGCATAGGCATCACACTAGAAGAGCGTGAACTGCAGGTACAAAAGGTGTAACATTTGTAAGAATGTAACGAGAACAGCTCACGTGAAGTATTTGAAGTGCTAACTTTCTCATTGCACACACAGTAATGAATTAATTAAATTTGAAAAGAAGATGTCCGAAGTACTTGGTACCTTTTTTCTACAACTAAGGTCCAAAACAAGCCTATGTTTCCCAACCAGATCGACAAGTTGCTTCAGCCGTTCAATGTTCATTTTGCCTTCACTAAACACATACTGCATAAAAAGACTCAGATGCATGATTCACAATATTCAACTACTGATAAGCCCAAGTACAGTAAAAACAAAATGCAGGTAAATTACACAAAAAAAAATCCTATCAAGCATTTGTAAAATGGGGTCAGCTATGTGCAAGTGCAATATTTTGCCAACAAAGGCAAAATTTGCCTGGCTGCTAGTTAGGGGAGAAGCCAGAGGGGGCGAGAAGAGGCCTGGCCTCCCCCAATGCAAATTTTTATATCATTGATATTGATATATTATCTATTGGGAGCCTTGAATTCACATATATTTCTACACTATTTTCTTCAATTGTAGGGCTCATTTGGTTTGGTGCCCCACCAAATCATCGGTAAGTGCCAAATCATGGGCAAGATTTGGTACTACTAATGTTTTGGTAGAGTTGGTTCATAGGAGTTGTATTAACTTTGTCAAATTTTGGCATCAATCCAAACATCTATAAGGTACTATTCAAAGTGCCAACTATTTGGTAGGGCAAATTTTGGCAGCAAACCAAAACAGCCCGTAATCACTTACAAAATTGGCCCCCCTCATACATAAATCTTGGCTTCGCCACTGCTGTTAGTAATTATCGGCTATGAATGTATTTTGTTGAACTAAAAGTAAAATTAACATTTTATACCATGGAAGCGACCTCTATAACAGAAAACATGTAAGTAATTTGTGATGAACCTTAATCAAGACATTGCAATATGCTTTGACATCTATTACTAGATTTGATAGTACTCACAGAGAATGATGAGTAAAGAAAATAGAAACTAAACAACCAAAATACTCAAACTAAGCTCTATGGTTCATGTTTATGGTATGATGGGTTCATCAAAGATAACAGACATGACCAGGTGGACATGAGAAGCTTCAAATTTATCTCCTGAAGTCACCATGATGAAAAATCCACTTCATATCAATTTACTAATATACAGTGAAATAGCTACATCTATTTATGTAAGTAGGTGCATCAATGAGGGATGAGCGATAGTCATATGATCAAATAGATCAAATGTCTCGTCATGTCAACTGGTGTTGACCATGTTTCAGTTGAAAATCACAAGCAATTGAAGTTCTAAAAGACTTGACTCGTTACATGTATGCAAATGAAGCATGACAGCAATGAGGAACAATATTAAATACACTTTTTATAATATGCAATCTAATGCTGCAGCCAGCACTCACAAATAGCACCGACCTATTAGTAGCTGTTGGCGATCAGCCTGGAACCCCGAAGGTGTTCAACGAAATGCAAATCATGAACTGGAATGAACTCGAACTTGAACGTAAGAGAACCTTTGTGCTGGTAAACTTGGCAATGTTTTCTGATACATTGATCAACTAAAATAGAAAAGATGTGATGAAAGTCTGTCAATCTCCCTACAGGAATGTGCCATCCCACATTCGGAGGCTTGCCACGCCATGTGTCCTACAACAAATGGTTCGGAGGCTTGCCACACCACCACGTGGGATGGCGTGGCTAAGTAGGGAAGCATGCAGCGCATGGTGCAGCAAGCCCCCCAACGTGGATCGCACATTCCTGTAAGGAGATTAACGGACCTGCATTGCATCTTTGCTATTTAAGTTGATCAATGCATTAGAAAATGCTGCCAAGTTTAGCAACACAAAAGTTCTCTTGTGATCGCATTTGAGTTTGTTCCAGTTCTAAATTGTCATTTCATCAAACACCTTCGGGGTTTGTGGCTGATCGCCAACAGTAGCCAGTAGGTACAAGGCTCCTAAGCCCCACAACAAAGACTCCCTTAGATTTTACAGTGATCACCCAAAGAGAACAGGAGATTCCTTAGACCTTGTGGCTTTTGGAACACTTTTCCGTCAAGAAGAAAAAAGGAGGCAACCAGCAAGCAAATTACACCAGGAAGGAGAAACCACCGGAATGTTATTGACTGACTGGACAGGACTATAGGCAATGCCATTGCCTGTAGATCAATGACTAGTGGTAGGGTTTTTGATAGGTTGCTCTTATATCATGCTAGGCTTTGGGGTAACGTTACAGTGAACCAACAAATTGTATTTAACAAGAAATGGATATGAAATGGAAATGCAATGGGGCCAGGCTTAATTTTGTTCCGGTTAACTGATGCACGTATTAACATACACAACTATATGTGGTTTCAAAGAATGAAAGAGAAACAGAACTTATATACACGGATCAAGGCATGAACACGTACAGAAGTAACAATCACGTGACTGGCACCTTCATTAAGGTAAGATATCGCATTCTCCAAATTTATTCCACCTCCAACTTGCAAACCACCTAGTATTATAATAGCCCACGTTTATTACAAATACTTCAAATTGATTTTGCTTCATGGCCATAGTAGAAACAAACCATACTAGCAGAAGCACCATTAGCAGGTGAAAAAAAAACTCTCCAAAGGCTCCAATGACCAGAACCATAATAACCTAAATTAGCATCTCTTGGGCTTAATTTTATGGCAATGAACATGAAACATGGCTGTCAGCATGAACCATACATAATTCAAACCCCGCAATAGTGGAATCTGACAGGTATACCACTGGAAAATATCATGAAACAACAACGGAAAAGGAAGAAGTGTTATTAAGTTTTTTCCCCTAGAGTTGCATTTTGGCAAAGTATTTTTCATTGCTCTCAAATAGCTACATGATATTTTGTATCAGCTAGTTTTTTTTAGAAAATAAAAACAAACACTGCACTTATTAAATTATATACACTGTAAGCACCCATATATTCAATAGTCACAAATGTGGCTTTATATCATAATTATTATTGATAACAGTAAAGAACAAACAACTACAGACAGCTGCTCACAAAAGAACTAGTCCAAATAACAACATAATTATGCTAACAGGTAACAGCTAGATAACATTCTCACCAGGATATGCATGTAGTGCTTCCATGGCAGCAGCTTGACTAGCAGGATCTGCACCAAGCATGATTACATGTCCACCAATAAGTTCATCCTCTTTATATATATTTGCAAATTCTGCTGGAGGTTTGTCTGATTCAAAATTTGTAACAAGTGCCGTGCCATCGTTTGATGAATCCCGAAGAGTAGAGCCAACAATCTGTTTAACTTTCCCCTGAAAATTTATATTAAGAAACAGCCCATCAGATAAATGACACTGTTAATGCCAGAAGTAACTGAACTCACATGGTTGCAAAATGACAGTAGAAATCAATGCATAAGCCTTTAGTTTTAATATCACGGTGTTCCAGGTGAATCGCATCGCAGGAAAATTTGGAGCATACAAGCTGAAAAAACTTCTGAAAGTACTTTGCTTACAAAGTTGGGGTATCAATTTACGATCATGTTAATGTTCAGAACACCCATGAAACATAAGAGGAAGCAAGTGTTCCACTCGTACGGACCTTATGAATATCGATACACGGCCTGAAGATAACGGCGCACACCACAGCACGTCCTCCTGCCAAAACAAACGAGCAATCCCAGTTTTTCCCCCAATTCGCGACAAGCAGTAACAAATCGAGCCATACAGAGAATCGAATCGAAAGGGACATCATACTCGCCACGCCGGATCTCGCCGGCCGGACGGAGACCATCGGGACAGCCCAACCGGACCGCGCCGCCGCGCACGGTGGAGACGGAACCCTCGATGCCATCCAATCCAGTCGCTGCCACAACCAACAAACAAACACCCGCGAAGCAAATTCAGAAGCAAGCAAGCATGCGGGAGCCCCCCCCCCCCCCAACCCAGGACACGATTCGGAGAGAAGAAGAAGAAACCAGCGCGTACGTGCCGCACCTTCGCAGCCGCCGCCGGCGGGGAGGGGAGGGCTCCGCGGAGGCGGCGCAAGGGCGGCGGCGAGTCGGAGTCGGGGTCGGAGTCGGAGTCGGTGCGAGGCCCAAGCCGAACTAGGTAAAGAGATTTATTGGACGGCCAGGATATGCACAGGGGCGTTGATCCGACGGCTCGAACGCCTCGTCAGGGCTAATAATATTGCCTCTCGCGAGAGAGAAGCCAAGCCAGTTGAGTCGAACTGTTGAGGAATCGCTCGCTCGCTCGCTCGCTCGCCGGCGGCGCGGACGAGGAGGGGGCGAGATGTTCTTCCACATCGTGCTGGAGCGGAACATGCAGCTGCACCCGCGGCACTTCGGCCCGCACCTCCGCGACAAGCTCGTCTCCAAGCTCATCAAGGACGTCGAGGGCACCTGCAGGTAGGGCTCGGGATTGGTTGGGCAAACCCTAGTAGGGCGGGGAGGGGATGTGGGGTTCGACGGGATTCATTCTTGTTCGTCCTTTTGCAGCGGGCGGCATGGGTTCGTGGTGGCGATCACGGGGGTGGAGGATGTCGGCAAGGGGCTCATCAGGGAGGGCACGGGCTACGTCACCTTCCCGGTCAAGTACCAGTGCGTCGTCTTCCGCCCCTTCAAGGGCGAGATCCTGGAGGCCGTCGTCACCATGGTCAACAAGGTGGGCGATGTGCCTCCGTCCCTCGCCGGATTGGTATTTGGTGTTGGGTGGATTAGGGCTTGTTTGTGGTTAGTGGCTCCAATTCGTTTTCGTGTTGGTTCTGCAGATGGGGTTCTTCGCGGAGGCTGGGCCTGTGCAGATCTTCGTGTCCAACCATGTGAGTGCCTGCATTGCTTGGAGCTGCTTTTTTCTAATGCTCCAAATTTGTGGAGTAAAAGAATCAGAATTTATGCTAGAATGATCGATAGACGATAATGGTTCAGTACCATTTTCATACACCCAGTTTAGCTGTACCATCAACTCGAAGGATGGTTTTTGTCATAGAAATTTCTGATACTAATTTATCAAACATGTTGGTTTGAACAATCTTAAAGTGACTGGAAGGCAACATAAGGTTCTAGTTGAATTTGTGCTTTCTAACCAACTAATGTTTTGTTCTTGCATTTTCCCGTTTCTATTTTTGTTGTGCAGTTGATTCCTGATGATATGGAGTTCCAATCTGGGGATGTGCCAAATTATACTACTTCTGATGGATCGGTATGCTTCTTTTCTACAGTTACTTCTTATGTCTTGTCCTCTATAAACATTGACAACTGTTGACAGGTTATGATTTTTTTTCCTGTTTATTTATGCTTATTGGTGATATGTCTGACTTAAAAAGAAATGCTGGGGAATGTAATGTAATGTCCATTGTATCCAATTTTGGTATCAGCATGTCATAACTATGCTTGAAATGCATACACATATATGTTCATTGTTTTTCCTAGAAACGAATAGATGTGAATACTGTACTACTGTTGAAGGCTAATTGCTTTGGCCATCTTCTTTTGCTTACTAGGATTTACTTGTTTGTCCGATGCAGGTGAAAATTCAGAAAGATAGTGAGGTTCGGTTGAAGATTATTGGGACACGTGTTGATGCAACAGAAATTGTAAGTTTGTTGACATCTAGTTTCGTGCAAAAAAACAAACGAAAAACCAGGTGTTCCCTGTCTTTTAGATTTTTGTAGCATTGCTCTCAGAGTAACCACCATATGCAATTATTGGTGATGTAACCCACTTTTCCATACCAGTAGTTTGCATGATGTTTTTCTTTCCTAATGTGTGAAAAAGAACAGATGTGGTTTTATCAGCAAAGATCAACCTTGATGTGTGTCAAGTAAATTAGTTGAAAAGTATATCAAAATGAAAATTTGACATGTAATCTTGTAGCAACAAATTGCAAGTAATTACCATGAATGCTCATAAGCTAGCCACTAGTATGGTATCATAATAGATAATTGTTGAATGCATGTGGCTATATTCTTCCCTGAGGCATTTCTGAATCCATGTTCTTGCTGTCATAACTCATAACCCCGTTTAAGCTGGTGATGTGCAATGCTCTAACAGTTTGAATATGTTTGTTGCAGTTTTGCATTGGCACAATAAAAGATGACTTCCTGGGCGTTATCAGTGATCCTGGTGCGGCAGTGTAAATTATCCGGTGACAAGATTACGCCTCTTCATGCTCTTGAACGGGAATATTCCGATGAATTGTAGTGTTAAAATATGGAAGCCCCACTGGAAGGGGCTGTAAGTGGGTTGGAACCTGTATTTTCATCACTATAAATGGCGCTTTACCAAGTTGGCACTGTTGCTTGAGTGTGTTGTGGGATTCAACTTTCAAGCAGTCATTTAACTAATCAAACTCTGACCTTTTTACGGACTGTACAATTTTGCACTGTATCCTTGCAATTAAACATTCAATGCTTCGAACTGCATCCTTGCAAAATAAAACTAAAGAGAAAGAAAGGGCTAATGAAAAAAGATAGGTTTACACTGTCAGTTGTTCATGTTAGGATCAAGCTAAGGGCAGATACAATAAGTTAGCAAGAACACAGCGGTCACCCCACTTAAGTTCTTGACGGCACTTCCTAATGAAGACAGGAAGTATACTTTGATTGTGCAGTTATACTCAATATTCTCACGTGGTCCTTCAATGAAGGATCTGCATACGGCACTGCTCCTGCGGTATTAACAGAAATCAGATGACAGGAGATAAAACATTGGTAAAGAGCAAAAATTATTTGGATATATAAGTCTCAACTCACCTGCAAGGCTGCAAAGAAGTTAGAGCCAGAGGTTAACCTTTCAGTCTTCCTTCCAAAGGGGCTTGCGGTGCATACACTTGATCAAAATGATCTTCCAAAATGATCTTCCTGACGATTCAATCGTTACCATCGTTTCCACGATTCCACTACACAGAAGGGGCTCCTAAGATGCCCCAAAAACTGATTTTGCAACTCAGCATTTTTAAGCAATTAAGGGGATGAAGTTGTCGTGATAGTCTTTAGTTCCTGATTCCTGAAACAATCAAGAAGATACTCTCATATGTAATAAGTTCAACACTACCATGACATCAAACTGGTGAATAGATCACAGGTGCCTTATCATACCATCAAACCAATTTGTCCGAAATGGAAGCCAGGGCCACTAGAGCAAATAGGCAAAGTAATGAAAAGACATCCACAATGCCAAAAGAAGATTCTGTAAGAAAGTAGATCTTGTGGTTGTTAGGGTCACCACGAAATCCGCGAGCAATCATGGCCTACAAAAATCAGACAGACATTCAGAGTATGAAGTGCAGTCATGTGCAAAGTAATTTCGGCTATAGTGAACCATGTATGTACAATATAAGTGCTTGAAAATGTTGGGCAGCAGCAATGATGTAATTTAAGTTTTATCCTCCTTACAAGCCCCGCAGTACTAGTACAAGATCTTTTTATCAAAACTGTATGTTACTTTTAGGTCATAACCAGTAAAATTCTTGATAAGTTCTCACAATCAGCTAACCAGACAACCTGCAGTATGATTGCCTTCAGCCTAAACTTTGGCAAGTTTGAATAGTGTGATAAGACTAAGAGCGCATAATTCTTAACCCAGTTTGGTTCAATACATTCAGACCATAATAAATTTTCCTCTTACACATTCATATTCAACTTAACAGACCTGCAACACCACTTTCACAAGAAAGGAATGAAGGATTAGACATGGACTTATACTATTAGTATTATCATTGACGTCCTGTATAGCAAAAGCCCATTTAACTGTCAGGCTAGCCAGTACATTCATGGCCATGTATGCACCAGCAGTTAGATTTTGTAATAGGACCCCCAGCTATTAGGAATAGCATATTGGTCATAAGCCTATGCTTATATATAGCCAATGTCAGGCTCATGAAATATCACAACTGATGATCTCCTTAGAGAAGGAGAAGCGACTAATATTACAGAATCAAGGTTGTAATTCTTGACAACAACAGAAGAATCCTACAAAATTCTGAAGTTCAGAAAAGCCACACAGATTTGGTTAGATTATAAGGCAAGCGCATGTTTGGGAAGCAGTCAAGATTGAGTATATCACTGAGTTGACATTTCAGAATTTCCCAAATGGTCAATGAAGGTTTTCTATTTAAAAGTTTTGAATTACACTAAATGAGAGTCGGGATATCCATAGGAAATTCTAATTAGTTAATAGCTCAATATAACGTGAGTAGCTTATGCCAATGTTCAATAAATTGTTTTTTTTTTTCACAATAGTGCATTAATTATAACTTCGTAGTCAGTGAAAGCCTCAAAGGTAAAATTCAGAACTGACTGACCTTGGATATTTGCTCTGCGTGATCAAATATATTTTTGAAAATTCGCCGCACATAGTTGAAGAAAACTGCAATTTTGATGCAAAGGATCAATTCCCCAAAAAGAAGTTAACAAAAGTTCTGTATTACAACCTAAATGCATAAAATTATCCTACATTAGGTGTTTCAATATAAACAGAACAATTGAAAAGCCATCTGCTGAAATTAGCCAAATTCACCAAGTCCAACCTTTGCAAGAGTTATTTAACCTCACGAACTCAAGTAAGGTTTGGACTTGCAAAAGTATATACTGCTTCCATGATCCATCCCAAAATATAAGAAGTTTTATAGTTGGGCACGAGTATTAAGGAGAAAGGTCAAATACAATTATGGTTGGTTGTGATTGGTTGATAAGAGGAAGTAAGTGGAAATGTTAAATGGGAGATGGTTGTGATTGGTTAACAGGTGAAAAGGTGGCTATATTTTTGGGACAAATTTTGAATGCTAAAGGAGATATGTTTTGGGACATAGGGAGTAGCAGACATAAAACTGCTAAGTGGGTAAATGAATTGGAATAAGAAATATTGGAATAAATGAACTTGTCGGTATCAACAGGACTACAGGACCAGTTGATATAATCCATTATTTACCTCTGACAGGAGACCAATTCTCTATAGCTAGACAGCACAAGCCACAAGCTACCTCAAATGAACTAGACTAAGAAACAGAACTCATATATTAAAGTCTTTGAATTTGAACTGAGCAGAAGCACTTGAAGTTGGACCAACTTCAACTAACTGTAATCGCCTTCATTTCAGTAGCGCAAATCATGAAAAACACTTAGTTAAATCTTGCTGACAAAATAAATCAAGGTACATAACAACTAGTAAATTCAGTAGAGATTAGTTTTCTGCTGCAATTCCCCCACCAAAATCAGCCAGCAACTGGTTCCTGACTAAGTTTGTCAGCTAGTTCACTCCCGGGCATTGGTTACAGAAGTAGGAAGTACTCACTGTCAATAGTTTCCATAGTTGCCAGCTTTTCCCAATTTATCCGACGTGCTACAATCGCCAGTGCTGAATTGCGAACCTAATGAAAAGTATTTAAAATAATGTTACAATCACAATGCATGTTCTAGTTAGAAAGACAAATATAGCCGATGTTTACTTGAGCACCCTATACTTGCCTCATCAAATACAAGATTAATGAACCTCAAAGATAGTAAGAGTGTGAGTATTATCTCAGGTACTGGTACGCCGATATGCTTCAGTGGAATCATAAACCACCATAAAGCAGAAGCAAGCTGCTCAGGAGTAGTTGTTGTCAAGCAGAGACTTGCACTTTGAAATATCTGCATCAAAAGAAAGTATGGGAGATTATACCTAAATGGTTTATTAAAAAAAGTGTATTGTCAACTCAGGACATGCTTGTCTTATGTGCCAATTGCTAGATGATGAAAGTATTGGTTCAAACAAATCCTCTGGGCTTTGGGTTGCTGGCCATATTCTTTTTTATTTCTTTGGCAAGTCCTTTCATGCTAAATCTTTCTCTAATGGGCTTGTTTGAATTTTTTCAGACTCTTTTCTTTCTTCTTAATATAATGATGCACAGCTCTCATTTGCATTAGAGAAAAAAAACAATTTGTATGGAAAATATTACCCATAAAAGGAAAGGACATACCGCAAATGAGAGGCATGCTGACGTACTCGCTACTGATAGGCCTTTCCTTGTAAATTGCAGTGGACCCAGTTTCATGATTGTGTAAGAATAGCCATTTGTGGATGTAGGTATGTTTGGCAAACCTATAACAGATGGGGGAGGAGTTCTTGTCTGGACTAATGAAGGAGCACCATCAGAACCAAATCCCAGCATTATGAATATGATGCCTGAAAGCAGAGCGACCCTTCCAAGTTGGTCCTATAGAGAATGTAATTTGTATAAAGCTAAACAGCAGGTTCACTTCAAGGGTAATATTTTAACAAAGAAGATAGCATAACGGCAGAGACTATGTATCGAAGGAGTGAAAAATAGCCAAATCGTACAGGAAAATCTATAAGTAAAACATGGACAGCTTTCATTGGTATACTTAAAAGTCACATAAAATTGTGTGTGTGTGTGTTTTTTTTTTTGGGGGGGGGGGCGATGAAACGAAGCCAAGCATGATAGTTTGTCAGTACAAAACCCATATAACTTGTCCAGTACTTCACAGTCACCCTTTCAACAGTAGGAAATCATAAGCCACACTCATGTTTTTTTAAAAAAAATGAATTGCATTCAACATCATAAGGGAATCTCCATATATATATAAAGTAGTAGACAATTTAAACCACAACTGGCAACCCAACAGGCCAGCACTATTTGTGCATAAAATGGTGAATGCCCATTTTAACAGTAGATCAGAGAGCGTACCTTCCAAATATGGTTTGGGAGAACCCACATAGAGAGGAGAGTAAGGTATGCTACTAAACCAAACCGCAAGTAAATATTTGATCTGGCTGGTAGGACAACAAGAGCCAAGAGCCACACCTGAGAACAAAAGTGATTGGTCAGGTTGCAGCATGAAATTGGACGATCATTTAGTTAATCATCAACTTAATCATTATTTTTGTGCACAAAAGACAATTAAATATATACTACGAAATTTGTTAAAACAACTACCGTGACAAAATCAAAATTCCACAAACTCGGGGGAAGGGAAAAATCCGTCGGACACTATTTCTTAACTTACATAAATATTCTAAATAATCATCAGACAAAGTGTCCAATATAACTTATAGATATACTGACGCAGGTTCAATGGTTAAGGTCAGTTTCTAAAATAGCAGAAAACAAAACGTCAAAACCTAATGATTTCACAGTTTGTGGCTCCAATGAGAATCAGCCAATCATTGAAAAAACATACTAGTATGTTGTCATGAAAGTTCACGACAGCATTATGTATGCTCAACCAACAATCCAAGTTAACCCGAGAATAGGCACAGTTGGTCAGTTGCACACGCTCACGTTGGTGGTACAAATGGCTCTTAGCATATAAAATTGAGCAAGATTTTTGGCGATGTATTTGCATCAGCAATTCAGCATTTCATTCATCCCTTCATAGCCCAGGGGCGAACATTTTCACAAGCACTTACTGTGCATCCTTATCCCCTGCCGTTTACTGGCGATTCGATCCAAAAACACGGAGCAGATAAGCGTGAGGTGAGGCAAGGTGTCTTGTCTCCGGGGAAATCTTAGTTACCAGCTTAACCCGGGGATCGATGGCGTGGAGGAAGGTGCGGGGCGAGTCGACGAACTGGCAGATGGGCGTGGCCGCGGCGCCGGAGATGAGCCTGAGGACCTGCTCCGGGCCGGCCCCTCCCACCGCAGCCCGCGGGATCCACGCCGCCCACCTGGCGACGGCATCCCCCGCCTCGCCCTTCCCCGCGGCCTTGCTGGGGTCGGAGGCGGCGCAGACCAGCAAGCTTCTCCTCCTCCCTGCGCCTGGCTTCGCCGAGAGCGGGAGCCAGCCGGGATTGGGCGTGGCGGCCTTGGCTGCGAGGAGAGGGAGAGGGAGAGACAGCGAGTGGATAGGGCGGAGGTGGACGGCGGCGGCCATCGGATTCTCCGCTCCGGGCAGCCTGCGCCGCGCCGTGCGCGGCCGGGGTAAGGATAACTCGGGGTGCCGAAACGTGATCGCGGTGGCCTATGTGCGGCCCGTTTCAGTTGGGCCGGACCATCTCATGGGCCTCCGTCGATGGCGTTCTTGCTAGATGTGCCCAAATTGAGGGTTGGTGAAATGAAAATTTTTGGTGTTACATCGAACGTTTAACCCGGATGTTGGAAGGGATTTTCGGACATGAATAAAAAAACTAATTTCATAACTCAGCCTGAAAACCGCGAGACGAATCTTTTGAGCCTAATCAATCCGTCATTAGCACATGTGGGTTACGTAACACTTATGGCTAATCATGGACTAATTAGGCTTAAAAGATTCGTCTCGTGATTTACATGCAAACCGTTCAATTAATTTTTTTTATCTACATTTAATGTTTCATACATGTTTCTAAAGATTCGATGTGATGTTTTTAGAAACTAAACAGCCCCTGCCGTACGTTCCAAGTCTATTTTCAGGGGAGGAGCGCAGTTAGTTGGTTTGCAGTGGTTTGAACCAGCCAGCACGAATTCGACTCCCACATAGCGAATTTTCACGTGGCCTTACCCATTAGGAAACAGGGTACATATATGTGCGTGTTCAGTGAAACTGCACGTTTCCGTAATGTGTGTTCGTCTGTGTTTTGAGTTGTACCATAAAAGAAATTTGGGGATGTGTGGTTGTACCCTTAAAAGAAGTCCATTTTACAATACAGTAATTCGTAATCACAAGCTTTAGATCAAACTTAATTAAAAGAATTAACCGCCGGAGACAATTTACAAATGAACAAATTCGCCACGACCACACGGATATACATCCACACACAACACACTAGCATAAATCAACACAACGTTCCTCCTCACGCGCGTACACGTACGTACGCACGTACGTACACCACAAACCAAACCGTCGCCCAAGATTGATACGGTTTTGCACAGAATCCTCCTCCTCGACCCGGTCGACGACGCCCTCACACTCTGCTAACCATCGGATTCTGTATGATGGCTACGTGTGCTCCGGCGTGCAGCGACCCGGCGCACAGCAGCTGCGTCCCGGCCAAGATGATGGTGAACGTCTCCAGCGCTCGCTGCACAGAGAGGCAATAACACACACAAGAACAATTAATCTCAGATTAGCCACGAAAACGATTAAACGACGCGAGGAAAATGGCGTAATTGGTTCAGTTTTTTTTTTGTTGATGAATTTACCAGGCTCGGTGGCCTCCAGCCGATGCTGATCTCCTTGCACGCCAGCCTGCAATTAACGAGCGAATCGACGGTTTGATTAATCAGTGATAAACCTGCGTGCAGATGAATGGCGAATTGGTTGGTGGTTTTGACGGTTGCTTTGCTTACCCCATGGCGAGGAGGGTGAGGGTCCAGGTGACGATGGAGGCGGCGGCGGCGGACATCATGCTGGCGGGGTACCCCTGGCTGACGTCGTGGAGGCCGGTGAGCGAGGTGGAGACGCCGACGACGCCGGCGAGCAGCGCGAAGATGACGAAGAACCCCGTCGCCAGGTTGCCGATCGGGAAGTAGATCGGGAACAGCCGCACCGGCGGCGACACCCCCTGCACTGCACCCACAAGCAAGGCAACACACACATCAACCAAACACTCGAGACAGCTCACATAGGAATTGGATGGAATCTAAAACGAGATTTGGAGGGAGAAATATCCCTCCAAACAGATGATTTGTGAGCGTGTTGAAGATTTAACATGGGATCTCAAGGTTAAAACTTTAAACCATACTCCCCTTGCCACTATACATAGGAATTCGGACCATTCGAGGCGTCGAAGTTGAAACCACACGTCCCTTGCCACTGCACATGGAAATTGGATGGAATCTGACACTTACGTGAGTTGAAGCTCTCGTCGATGCTGTAGTTGATGGCCCAGCCGGCGATGACGGCGACGACGACGTACAGGACGAGGTTGAGGAAGAGGAGGCCAGCGGACATGGAACTGGGACCCCCGGTCGCCATTGCTGATCTTCCCTCTTGCTCTGCTCTCCGAGGCAGGAGAAGATCACAACGGCGTCGCGAGAAAACACACTCTGCTGCTGCTGCTGCTGTGTTGACGCTTCGATCGGTCGGGAGCCAATATATACGCTAAAAAGTGCAGTTTTTCTAACTGAAAAGATCGCAGCAAATATTTCTCCTTGGTTGCTTTGCAAGTAAGCCAGCCAAGTATTCCTTTGATCCTTTCTGCCACCTGGAGAGATTGCTCTGCTTTTGCTCTCCACAAGGGAGGAATATCCAATTCTCCATCTCTCATCCACGGTCCATCCATATATGGTGGTCAAGAATAGAATCTGTTCTTGTCTTTGATCACAAGTGCATATCCATCCGTGCAGATAACTTAGTTTACATGCATCGATCATTGCTGGCCTGCTGCATCTGTTCTTTTCCTTTGTGTTCGACAATGTACGGCTGCTGTGATGCTGTCCTCTTAGATGATCCGTTGGTAGAAGCGGTTCAGTGTTTTAGCTGAGAAGGCTTATGATCAACATTCAATAACAAGTGGTTTGCGCCAAAAATGTGGAATTGCCAAAATTTTTGGAAGAACAAATTTGACCTCAAACACCAACCGAAATTTGGCAACAAGCCAAAAACTATATTTACTTTTTTTTTTACTATTGCCAATCTTTTGGTAATGTTTGGATTGAAATGATCCAAACAAACGGTTTGAGTATGATTTGTGAACTATAAAATTATTAATGGTTAGTAGCACGATTGCCACGCTTCAAGAAATTTGAAACACTTAAGAGCATGAAAAAAATCGGGGATCAAAAATCCATATAGGATTTTGTGATAATATGAAGGAGAGAGGGGAAGAGAAAATATGCGAGTGACTAATTAGTTGCCTGGCTGCACTGGGCGGCCCAAGATTGTGGAGTCTACCCATGGTGATGGTGGCTCAGACAACTGTGCTAGCCGCTGTTGTCTCCTGCATCCGTCGGGTCGTCGTCCTCGTTGTGACTGTCGTTGTCGCCTGCGCCTGTCGGACCATTGTTCTCGTTCACCATGGCTGCGCGTGGGGAGTCTACCATGCCCTCTCCCATCTGCAGCCCATTGTCCTCACCGGGCACTCGAGCTGGCATCATTTGCGAGAGAGAGTCATCGAGAAGGTAAAGAAAAGAAGGAAGAAGATTAGAATGAAGGGTGGGATGAAGAAAGAGAAGAGATAGAAGAAGATGGTGGATCCATAAAGATAATAGAATATCTGTGTTATAGGAAACATAATATTTTATAGACATTTGGTTACAATGTTTACTATATGAATTCGAATGATGTGACCACTCATTACAAGTAGTAGCTACTCTAGCTCTCTTTTTTTTTATTACACGGCAGACCATAGTTATTAGAACCGGACCAGACCGATGATCCGACTGGAAAAAAAAGGAACCAGGGCGCCGGCTGGTCCGGTCCAGCTAAAAGATCGGTGTGCAATCAAACCGGTAGAACCGGGCGGTTTACCAAAAAACCGGATAAAAACCGGAGCTGGTTGGACCGCTGGAACGGCGTCACATGGAGGAAACAGAAGTGCGCAGGTTGCAGCCTTACAGGTGCATCACGCGGAGTTAGAAAATAGGGAAAAATGCTATAGAACTTGTGAATCGAACCCAAAACTTCCATCTTTCCGCATAGAGTCTTAACCACCAGGCTGTGAAACTTGTGATAATATTATAACACATATCTATTTGAACTGCAATAAACCGGTGGTTGGACCGGTCCAACCAATAAACCAGTGAACCGAGTGTCTTACCGGTTTGATCACCGGTCCGGTCTTAATAACTATGTGGCAGACGCATATGCACACATCACTACACGCGTAACACTTACACCTCGCAAATGCACACCGGCAATACATCCCTGATCTCTTTAAATTTCTATTGAAAGCCTATCTGTATGTGCGTAATATTCACGAGCACCAGAATTTAAACCTTGGTAGGTAAAGTCAATCATCAATGACTTCATCACTTCACAGCAGGTGTTTTCCAAGCTTTGCTCTAGTTAGGACGCAATTGAACATGAGAACCTGAACCTTGGCTTGGTCGCAAACTCCATTCAATTTGCCACTTGTTTGGGTATTCTCCCAATTTCACCAATCTTGTGGTTTTATAGCTAAAGCCTGAAGAAGAAAAATACTCCCTCCGTTTCTGAATATAAAAACACTGTTGAATTTTTAAATAATCATTCGTCTTATTCAAAAATTTTTATGAAATATGTAAAACTATATGTATACATAAAAGTATATTTAACCATGAATCAAATGATAGGAAAAGAATTAATAATTACTTAAATTTTTTAAACAAAACGAACAGTCAAACATGTTTATAAAAATAACGGCGTCAAATATTTAGAAACGGAGGGGTACAAAATAGGATGTACAATTGCACAACTCGAAAAAAAAAAAAACTGTTCCTTAATTTCCATACCACGACCCAGCGCCAGCGGCACGAATCTCAAAAGATGGATCGGACCGCTTGGCGCGCCCGCCTAACGTGGGGAGTCGACGCCTCTAGAAAGCGAGAGGACGCCACACGCCGAGCCATCTCTCGCTTTGCCCCCAACGAATCCCTCCCCCATACCAAACTCCGCCGCCGCCGCCGCCGCCCGCCGCCGCCGAGACCGACCCGACCACGATGGGCCTATGGGACGCGCTCTACCGCGTGGTGATGCGCCGCAACGCGGTCTACGTCACCTTCGTCGTCGCCGGAGCCTTCGCCGGCGAGCGGGTACGCCCACCCTCTACCCCCCCCTTTTTTTTTTCTTTTCCCTCAGATCTGTCCGGGCGGCCTCGTCGCCGTTTGACCCGATCTCATGTTGTTGCGCTCTCTTGGTCTCGTCGCAGGCGGTGGACTACGGGGTGCACAAGGTCTGGGAGATGAACAACATCGGGGTAATTTTTTTCCCCTTCACTCTCTATGAATGCTTTCCTATTTCTAGGTTTGTTTGTCGCGTGTTTTTGGATCGTGGCGTTCTAGATCTTGCATTTGCGATCTGGGTAGGGCTATATCGACGCTGTCCTTGAAATTCTGTTCTCCTTCATGATGGGAATGATCCGTTGCGGAGGTGCGGATAATCTTTTGGTGATGGTTGTACGTGTGCAAAATGAGGAGGAAGAGCCATGCGAAGAGAAGGCTTGGTTGCATCTAGTGCTATACTTACTTTATTTTTCTAGATTTACCGTTTCTAAATTGGTAGCTAGCAATGTCTTTTGTTCTGATATTAAAATTCCTGAATGAGGATCTGTTTTGCTTTGGCTGTTACTTGATTCAATGTCATGTTAATGCAATGTGTTTTACCATGCCAGCGAATTTAGAGAGAATAGCATAAAACAACTGAGAGTGAATTGTTCTATTTTTGTTGTGCATGCTCGATTTCACTTTTAAAAAATCTGCCACCATCTGTTGTTTGTTGTGAGTATGCTAAACAACATGTTGTGAAGTTAAAGTCTAGAATCAGGGCTGTAGATATCGTTCATAAGAAAACTTCACTTGTGCTATGGTATTTTGATCAGCCCAGCTTGTCTGTCTACTCTGCATGGTTTCTTGCGGCTTCAGTTGTTAATTTTGCTTTCTGAAATCTTTGATCAAAATACTAAAATCTTTGATCAAGGAATACGCTTGCGTTATGGCCATGGCTCTCAGATGCAAAGCCAATGGCATGCATATGGAGATAATAGGAGGTTTAGATTGTGATCTCAGAAGGGTATATGCACTGGATGGGAATTATGGTATCAGCATCATAAGAATATTTTAGCTCTTAAACATTAAGTGCTGCTGAAACACGTTCATAGTTTCAAGTCAGCATAGTACTTATCAATCAAACATGTTCAAAGTTTACAACAGTAATTATTCCGGTTATATATGAAAAAGCCCTCATAGGTGATTTGATCTTTGCATATACTGCCCTCTACTGCTTGTGATAGTTTAAAAGGGTTCTATCTTTCTTTTACTCCTAATCTCATGTTTAGATTTAATTTCTTAATTTTATGATTCATTAGACTAAATTAAAACTGATAGCTCTCATGGAACAAACTCCATGCTGTGAGACAACTCAAGATAACTTTGCCACATCCAACAGGACTACAGGGGTATAGTACACCCACCTGTAGCTGGTAATTTTCTTACCATGAGATCTGATTTTGGTCTGCGGCTTCCTTCCCATCTGTCAACTAAAAATATAATAATCTGATGAAATGCAGCTGTAGTTAATTATCATATTACCTCCGGACTAGCACAAAACAAATCAATTCTTCTATCACAAAAATATGTGGTGAAGTACTGAAAACAAGAGCAGATCATGTTTAATCCTTTTTTTGGAAGGTATTTTGATACTCACTATTACGTGACAACGATGAGGGTGGCAATCATCATATTGTAGAGGAAAATACAAGAAATTATCAAAAAGCCAATCGCTTGTATATATAAATTAAATTAAATTTGAACTTGTCACTTGTATAAAACCAATTTCTTGGTGCTGGTAGTACCTTTTTTATTGCTATGTTCTCGATTTCCAGAACAGCAAGGAGCTGCTGTTGCATAGGAATATAGTTAAGGTGGAGCTGAGTGTCCAAATTATTAGAATGTTCTCATGTCATAGCTTATTTCTGCAGTATATGTGCTTTGTTATCTTACGAATGATATCTTGGTAAACCGTGGTTGAATTGTTTAGTAATTTTAGTTTCTGTTGCAGCACATGGGCAGTCCGCTAGTATATTATTATTTAGATTTGAGCCTGAACTACCTAGCAATCTTTTTTGCTGGATGTGTGTAAGTGTATGTACCAAAGTATATGGAATCTTTGTCTAGCCTGAAGCGGAGCCAGGCATTATGTCTGTGGGGATTCACATTCAAGTATACAAAATATACCTATTGATTTTTCTATGGGCAACTTTATGGTTGCAGATGCTGATTTACTACATTTTGGTGTCACATACTCCCTCCGTCCCATAAAAAAACAAATCTAGTACGGGATGTGACACATCTTAGTACTACGAATCTGGACAGACTGTCACATCCCGTTCTAGGTTTGTTTTTTATGGGACGGAGGGAGTAGTATTTGCACGATGTTTGTTTGTTTGTATCTGCATAGCTTTTGTATTGTATGCAACTACATTATGACGTGTTTCCCCCTATCTTTAATTGTCCACTTTCATTGCCCATACCCCTTAAGTCATTAGGTGAAATGAGGACTAGGTTAAATTATTTTTTTTGTTTTGAACTGATTGCCATGTTCTTCTCATTTAACTCATTATGGATGTACATCATTACCCATTAATTTCTGAATTTGGACCAGCTTAGCACAAAAAGCTGAATGCCCTATTCTCCAGAAAAAAAAAACTCATCCATTTTAGCTGCAGATTGCCTCATTGTTTCCCCTATTTCTGTGCAATATTGTTTGGATGAAGTTGTTCTCTAGAAATCTAAATAGTCTGCTGATAGTTGTTTGTTTGTTGGAAATGCAGAAAAGGTACGAAGATATATCAGTGCTGGGGCAAAGGCCGGCCGAGTAGAACAATGAAAGCCCAGCACTCATCATCTTGCTTGCTTTACGTGAAAGTAGACACTCTTTTAAGCTCTAATGTCTTGTCATTTTCTTCGGCACAATAAGCAATGTAAAACCCCTATCTCCGTTTCTGAGAGTTAGCACTCGATTCATTTACTCGAACATGATTTGTGAATTTTGAGATGCATGGCCAAAACCTTTCCTGTAGCCATGTGATGGTGCGCTCTGGAATCAGTTGAAAACTATACAAACTCCTCGGAATGAAAGTTATTTTGAGGTTTTGTTTCTGTAATCACCCATTGCTGCTATGGAACGCTTGGTTTTTGTTGTGGTAGTGGCACTGCGTCTCTTCGTATTGCAGTCAAGCAAGTCAGTATTTTTAAATTTAGGCCGAGTTTAGTTCCAAACTTTTTCTTCAAACTTCCAATTTTTCTATTACATCAAAATTTTTCTAACATACAAGCTTTTAACTTCTCCGTCACATCGTTCCAATTTCAATCAAACTTTTAATTTTAGCTTCTCCGTCACATCGTTTCAATTTCAATCAAACTTTTAATTTTAGCGTGAATTAAACACACCCTTAACCCTGTTAGCTTTCTTGTTTGTTTTGTTCTGTTGGAGCACAATTTACTGGTCACAACACAACGCTATACGTGTCGATCGGTGATGCACGGTTTTATGACAACGCTGGATGTTGATTGTTGGTACAATGCTATACGTGTCGATCGGTGATGCACGGTTTTATGACAACGCTGGATGTTGATTGTTGGTACAATGCTATACGTCTCGATTGGTGAAGCGCGGGGTTTATGAGGTACACAAATTGTACACCAAAGAAAGATATGCATTACAACATCCGTTGTAGTCTAGCTGGTTAGGATACTCGGCTCTCACCCGAGAGACCCGGGTTCGAGTCCCGGCAACGGAATTTTGGTTTATTCATAAATTTAATATTTGTAAATCAGTTTAGTGTTTAATTTTTTCCATACACTTATTTTTTTATTCGTTGCTCTCTATGAGAGTTTTTCAAGAAACATAAATTTAATACTCCTTCCTTCTCGTCTCACAAAGACTTCATTTTTTTTCTCTATTCAACGTTTCCTACACTTAGTTTTTCTAATTTATTCATAAATTTAATATTTGTAAATCAGTTTTGTGTTTAATTTTTTCCCTACACTTATTTTTTTATTCATTGCTCTCTATCAGAGTTTTTCAAGAAACATAAATTTAATACTCCTTCCTTCCCACGAAGATTTCATTTTTTTTCTCTATTCAACGTTCTACCGTCTGTCTTATTTGAAAAAAATATATTTTTTTAAAAATAGTCACACATAATGTATTATTCATGTTTTATCATCTAACAACAACAAAAATACTAATTATAAAAAAAATTTAAATAAGACAAAGAGTCAAAAGTTATATCAAAAACTGAAAAATAGAGTCTTCGTCGGACAGAGGGACTAAGTGATTTGTACCTTTGTACATCGGTTTAGTGTTTTATTACTCCTTTTATTTAAACCATATTAGCTTTTTACATGGTCTCCAAAATCATACTTTAATCATTAATTTCTTTCATAATTTGTACAAACAACTATAAAATTAACGTCATATGAAAATATTTTTAAATATGAATTACACTAAATACATATATTATTGGCAAAATTGGTTACATAGCATTGAAAGTTCACGTTTTTGGTTTTATAACACCGAAAGATACCGGTTTATTTTAATAACACCCAAAGTTCACCCTGCTCCATTTCTTAAGCACTTTCGTCAATTCTCAATCGTTTTCCGTCCACATTAATCGTAATTGACTCAGCCACGTACACGATATAAAATTTCTACCCTCATTGCCTTGCATTCTACTTATACTTGTGAGGGGTAGAAACGTTATATCGCGTGTGTCTGGGTCAATAACGACCAAGGCGGACGAAAAAGATCGAGAATTGACGGAAGTGTTAAAAATGGGAACGGGTGAACTTTAGGTGCTATTAAAGTGAACTGGTATCTTTCTGTACTACAAAACCAAAAACGTGTTATTAATTAAAAAATTACAAATGTTGACTTTAGGGAACAAGGAGACCTTATATTTTAGAACGGGGGAGTAAATTAATTAATAGTAAATTTTAACTAACATGAACTCTTCTTTTCCAAAGGTAATTAATATGTTTAACATACTATTAAAATTTTAATATTTATAGTATCGCTAATAATATCATAATACACATCCTGTCATGACGCGGCTGATGAAATAAATTCAATAATTACTGCAACTGAAACTCTCCGTGCTGCTTCAGATACTCGTCGAACCACTGGACCATGTCAGCACGAGCTTCTTCTGCAGTTTTGACGGCGAACGGATCGCTGGCGTTGTATCTGCAAGCGAAGGCATGGGGCGCCTTGGGGAAGGTCTTCACGAAGTGATCAACCTGCAGTCAGCAGAGATGGATGTGCTTCAAATGAAACGAGCGTTCACGCTGAGCTAAATCAGTTGAGTATCATCTGAGTGATGCAAAGCTACAACTGCAGTCTCAGCGATGATTTAAACTGAAAAGGCAAATGGAATCAGTTGGAACTTACCCTGTTGTTCTGATCTAAGGCATGCTCAAACTGGTGCACAACAAGTGGTGGCGTGATGGTATCACGCTCACCTCCAAGAATCTCAATTGGACGTTTGACCTCTGAGCATTACAAAATATAAAAGTAAAAAAAAAACGAAGTTGGAGAAATGATCATTGAACAATTTAAGGTTAAGTGAAGGAAAAAGACATATCGACAAAAGTATATACTCTATCTATTCTAAAATATAAGAATTTCTAAAATTTTCTTTTAGCAAAACTAAGGTTAGGTTTAAAAAAATCTTTTCAATCACTTCAGTTGTTGTTTTTTGAATTTTAAATTGCTCAGATTCCTTTTTTATATGGTTGGCTTGGAATCATTGAAGTGGTGGAAATTATAGAAATCAGTATAAAAATGCTTATATTATGATTCAATATTTGAATCCTACATATTTTTGTATTTTGAAATAGAGGTAGTATTGTACTCCTATATTTGTACCTGTCATGTCATGTACGGTCACTAGCGAAGGATGTGAAATGACTACCGCTTGGGTTTCTTCGGTCTTTGATAGTTCCACGGCCACCTTTCCTGTTGAGAATGAAATAAGAAGGATGAAAGATTTACTTAATTAGAATTAGAGAATGAACCCATCCTGGCACAAAAAAGAGAACAAAGAATGAAGATTCATTCACTTTTACGAAATTAAGAATTGTTTGTGGTTGATTGCTTAGTGCTCATGTTGTTTAACTGAATAACTCACCACCCCAGCAATAACCTCCAACCCCAACAGAGGACATCCCTTCCTTCTTCAGAACCGCAATGAGCGGTTTAGTCTTTTCAGCTGCTTCCTCCTGCAATGAAATGGCAACAAACATTCAGATCTAAGTGATTCAGTTAACATTCAGATGACAAAAAATGGCGTCTAACTAGCAATCATTTTTTCACAATACTGAATGTTCCGTATAAAATTGCATTGGAACAGTGACAGGTTTTTCTTTTCATCATGTACTTTTTCTTTTACGGAGTGAAAAGTAATCAATAGGTCAAACAAACGAAAAGCACCGTGATCAAAGAAAGAAACACACACCGGAGAGTGAGCCATGATCCACACCCAAAATGGCCTTGCTGGATCATCCGTGTAAGGGTCACCGTACAACAAATCAGGAACCACAACGTAGTATCCGGAGTATGCAACTTTGTCCGCTATTTGTCTTTTAACTCAAGCAAGTTGGGAATAAACAAAAAGATCAAATGAAAAATTGAGTTGAGAACGAACTCAGCTGCACACGACAAATTTGCGTGATGAAGACTTGAAGTTTTTGTATTAATAGCTTTAATAAATCGTTTTGATCGACGATCAAAGCATGAGACAAATTTGTGTAACGCGTATTTTCAGATTTTGCAAACGTGCGTACCTCAGCTTTGGTGCTCGGAAACCTGCAAAAGTTGAAGTGCCGATATTATCAGACAAAAAACAGAAGAGGATTTATGAGATACTCTCTTCATCACCCCGCCCCCCCCCCCCCCCCAAAAAAAAAAACAACTCTTTCAAAGGAAAATCAAACTTGATAACTTTTAACTAACAATTATGCTAACCATATATATGCCAAGTATTATGCATGTTGTACCGTTAGATTCATATTTTAAATTGCTTTCATGTGATGCTAATTTCATATTCATTGAAAATATAACATGAAATAAATTAATAGTCAAAGTATGTTATTAAAGACCGTGTAAAAAAAATACAGGCCTTATAATTTGGGACAGAGGGAGCATATACGAGTGGCTACTGTCTCTCAAGGCAGTGTTTGCAATTTTTGGAAATCCACCCCCTCCCCCTCACCTACACACGAAACTATTTCGCTTGAAATTTCAATTATTTTCACGAGTTAGCAAAAGTTATTCAGGTTTGTTCAAAATTTAAATTATTCTGGATATTTCGAATTTATCATGTCTGTTTTCTTTTGGCGTTTTTTCCCCAAAATTGTTAACTACTCCTTCCGTTTCAAGTTATAAATTGTTTTGACTTTGGTCTAAATCAATCTGTTTTAAGTTTGCCCAAGTTTTTAGAAAAAAATGTTAGCATTTTCAACCAAAGACAAATTTATTATGAAAGTATATTCAATTATTGATTTGATGAACTAATTTAGTATTGTAAATATTAACATATTTCCTTACAAAGTTAAACTTAAAGTAGTTTGACTTTAACCAAAGTCAAAACGACTTTTTTTTTAAAATGTTAAGTCAAAACGACTTATAATATGAAGCGGAGAGAGCACGCTATGCTCCTAACATGTATGCGTGCACTGACCGTAATAGTCAGAGACGAGGATGATGGCGCGGCCGGAGCGGCGGGAGCCGGTGACGTAGCACTCCAGGCCGCCGTAGTCGTGGACGACCTCGCCGGCCTCCCCACCCGTCTTCTCCGTCATGTTCGGCGAGTTGTCCAGGCACGGGTGCTTCCCTGTCGACGGCGCCGGCGACGGGGACACTTGCCGTCCCGCGCCGCCGGTGTTCTCCTCGGCCAAGGAGAGCCCAGCGGAGGCCACGACGACGGCGAGGACGACGAGGAGGCAGCGAAGCAGCGCCATGGCGAGATTTCAGTTGATCGGTGTGTGTTTCAGGTTCAGGCGTTCAAAACCAACCCGTTTATTAATTTGGTGATCCATCAAGAGCTCCAGCCTCCAGATAGGCGCGCGTACGTGCCGCGCATCTCTGTGCAGAGGCTTCAGGACTTCACGCACGTTGCTCGATCACAAAATCACATGAACGATCGAGTCGCAGCGATGATAATTAATTGGGGGAGGTATATATAATTAAGATTTTAGTAGGTTGAGTGATGATGCGTATCATGCGAACGGATATCGTAGTTGTGCTGCATTTTGATCAGTTATCTGAATATTTCTAATCTGATCAACGCCACGCGAAGATTAATTATATATGAGCAAATCAACGGACGCGATGACATATTCCAGCCAACTCAGTGTATATCTTGGTGTTTGTTAGAGCCTGTGGCTCCGTTGTATATGTGGTGAAGCAGACCCAATGTTATCTGGGTGGTCCACGGATGGTGGGTCGGGCTGCGTTCCCTAATAATGTTTTCTAAGTTGTGAGCTCTAGCCCGCTAACACAGCAGGTCAACAGTAACTACTCCCTCCATCTCAATATGTTCCAACTTATGATGGGTCTCTAAATCTGGACGTACGCATATCTAGATTCGTAGTAAGCTTGCTACATATTGGGATGGAAGGAGTAGCTCATATGCTTTCTGGTGCCATTAGTTCTCAACGGTCTATGCATTTTCCAACAACTTATTATGGTGTTGTTACTTCATACTTCTAAAACATGGCATATGTATTCGATATAAGAAATTTTACAGTTTATTGAGAAAGTAACTAGATTTTATACTAATTTGTTTAGTAGTACTATGTTTTATACTATAGTCCTTCTGATACTTTCTTAAGAATGATAAAGTTATCCATTGGATAATAGTTCTACATATGTACCGGACACGCTCTAGTGATACTTCCCATATGGATATCATTATATATTTGAAGCTAATAAAAAGTCTAAATCAAGGTTATCAATTAATTACTCCCACATCCTAAATATATATAAAATGTGCATGTATTCAGATAAATTAATATGTGTAACTTTTAACTAATAATTATGTTATCAATATATTTGTTTAATGACATACAAGTAACACTATTAATTTTTTATTTTAAAATACCTCCAAGTGATATTAATTTCATAGTTGTAATGGTATATACTGAAAAAAGGTAATGGTTAAAGTACAACATTTAAGATCGTGAAAAAAACTATACACTTTGTATTTTTGGAGTGGAGAGAAATATGTGTTATTGTCCTATCGATCAAATTGAATAGTCAACTCTTTTATATTTAAAACCTTAACATTTTATTTCTTCATATTATATTATCATTAAATTTCATTTACTATTATACATATAACCATATCCATGTATCCATATTTCTGGAAATGCGATCTATCATGTATCCATATCAAATTATCAATGTGACATACTACAGTTAGCCATCACCAATGCAACCGCCTAGAGTAATTAACTATTTGCCACTCTTACAAATGGTGATATAGAATTTGCCACTGGATCCACATGTCATGGACACATGACGGCCCACATGTTATAGACTACGAGTGACAAATTCTTAATTGCCGCATCTTAAAAATGGCAAAAAGTTAAATGTCCTGCAGCCTAGGGCTTAACAAATTAGCTATTTTAGCTACTCCCTCGTTTCTAAATGTTTGATACCGTTGACTTTTTAGCACATGTTTGACCGTTCGTCTTATTAAAAAAATTGTGAAATATGTAAAACTATATGTATACATGAAAGTATATTTTACAATAAATCAAATGATAGGAAAAAATTAATAATTACTTAATTTTTTAATAAGACGAATGGTTAAACATATTTAAAAAAGTAAATGGCGTCAAATATTTAGAACGGATGGAGTATGTGGTTAGGTTAGTAATTCTATTAATCAACTAGAAACTACCAGGTTGACTTACTTTGTAAACATCTTAGATAACTTGCTTCTGTGGCCGAAAGAATTAAGCGTTATTAGCCAAATTTTTATATCGAATTAACTAAATCGATAATTCTTGCAAAATATAGAGTTTATAGTCTTAAACAAAACTGATCTAGACTTTTATGTTTATCTTTAATGATAAAATAAGCGGAAACAAACTAAATGATAGAGTAAGATGAATGATCAAACACCGATCTACAGTGCCATACATTTAAAAACAGAGATAACAAATATTGTTCATATTTTTATCAGTTAGATTGCTTGTTTGTTTGTTTTTTATCCTCTTCCGCAGCGCAATTAGCCGGTCGCAACATGTTTAAGCTCAAAAGACACTCCACCTTTTATGTTCATTTTGATACAACAGTGTCACTTTGTAAGTTGGCAAACTGACGCTCTAAGGTGAATTTATAGGTACAAATGTGACTTATACCAGCATCCGTGATCTAGCTTTTTTTTTTTAACGAATCGATGAACGCAAATTTCAGTGAATAAAGTAAGTGCTCTAGCTATTTAGGATATACTCCGTTCTCACCGAAGAGACCCGGTTCGAGTCCTCTTTTTTTTCCCAACCTATATAGCTTTTCTTTGCTTTATTGCTTTTCATCATATGCTTCAGGCAGGAAAATTTTGATGAAACTGTAAGCCAAATAATTGGTTTGTAATTTACTGGATACATGAGGCGCCTAGTGGTTCATTTTCTTCTTATTTAGTAGTATTGGATATCCAAGTCCAAGGAACCGTGCAACTGAATCTTTCACCGCTTCATGATCTCCAGATACTTGTCAAACCATTTGACCATGTCAGCACGAGCTTCTTCTGCAGTTTTGACGGCGAACGGGTCGGTAGCGTTGTATCTGCAGGCGAAGCCATGGGGCGCATCCGGGAAGATCTTCACCAAGTGATGAACCTGCATACATGCAACCAACAAGATGAATGAGTTCAACACACATCACATGATCGTTTCAGGCCGAGCTAATTTGGTTGAGTTAAATCATCTGATCAGGGTCGCCAATCTGCAACTGCAATTACAGAGCAAATGAAAATAAAAATGAAATCAGTTGGAACTTGCCCTTTTGTTCTGATCTAAGGCATCCTCCAACTGGTGTATTAGCTGTGGTGGAGAGATGGTATCAAGCTCACCCCCAAGGATTTCAATGGGACATTTGACCTCTGAACATCACAAGAACTCAGAAAATTTGAGAGATAATAACTGAACAATATAAGGCTAAGTGAGTGAAAATGCCAGAACAAGATCGATTATCTGTACCTTTCATGTCATCTACAACCACTAGCGCGGGATGCGAAATGACAACCGCTTTGGTTTCTTCAGTCTTTGATAGCTCCACGGCCACCTTTCCTGTCAAGAATGAAAGAGGAAGGTTTGATACATAAAAGCATATTTAGAAACTCAGAATTCAAAGAATGAACACATTCCTGCAGGCACAAAATGAAAAAAAAAAGATCCATTCTACTTTGATTCAATAAGAACTGTTCATGTCAGGAGTGGAGGCAAGCCTAAGGCAGCTAGAGCTTGTGCCCTATGCTTCTCCAAAATCATGTACAAATTCTCTTAAATCACCATGAAAATTTTAAAGGAAACAAACAATTCATTAGTTGAACCGTTAGTTCCAGTCTTTAGCAATTTCTGGCTCGGTTACTGGTTCATGTCATGTCTGAATGTTTTATGCTCATGGATTTAACTGAATAACTCACCACCCCAGCAGTAACCTCCAACTCCAACAGTAGACGTCCCATCCTTCTTCAGAGCCGCAATAAGCGGTTTAGTCTTTTCAGCTGCTTCAACCTGAAATGGAGAGCAACATTACGGAACAAATTAATATCCTTCATTAGAAAAAAAAAGTGATTCAGTTCAAATTCAGATGAAAAAAAGATGGCGTTTTTAGTACGAATCATCTTCTGCGATACAGAATCTTTGCGTAAATTGTACTGGAGCTAGCAATTACAGGGTTTTTTTTTCATATATTTTTTCTAGAGGTGACAAAAGGAATCAGAGAGGCAAAACAAAAAGATTGGAAAGGCACGGGGATCAAAGAAAAGAAACAAACCGGAGAGTGTGTCTTGATCCACTCCTCAAATGGCCTCGCTGGATCATCGGTGTAAGGGTCCCCGAACAACAAATCAGGAACCACAACGTAGCATCCAAGCTGGTATGCAACTTTGTCCGCTATTTTCCTTCAGCCCAACCAAATGGGAAAACGAAAACAAAAAACAAATGCACAAATGAGTTGTGAACGAACTCAGCTTCACGACAGCCTGTTGCTTGTGTGATGAAGACATGAAGTAGTTTTTGCGATTTGATCGATGATCGTAGGGGTGGATCCAGCACGGGGGCGGCGTGATCTTGAGCCCCCACTACTAGCGTGAAGACTATGAGATTACCATATATAGATGAAAGGGGGACTGTAATTCTATCTAGTTTGCTCAGACTCTAATGCTATTTCTTTTTGAATCCGTCACTTCATAGCGCATAAGTTCATATTCTGTGCAAACGTGAGTACCTCAGTTTTGGTGCTCGGAAACCTGCAGAAGATGAAGCGCCAATTAATGTTAGCCACAATAATTAGACGAAGAGGATTAATTTTAATTATCCGATTCGTGTGGACAATGTAAATGTCGTCGCTAAGCTAGCCTAACATAGCTCTAGTGGCTAGTGTCTCCGGGAAGGCATGCAGGCATGCACATGCTGCTGCACCGACCGTAGTAGTCGGAGACGAGGATGACGGCGCGGCCGCCGGAGCGGCGGGAGCCGGTGGCGTAGCACTCCAGGCCGCCGTAGCCGTGGACGACGTCGCCGGCCTCCCCGCCCGTGTTCTCCGTCATGTTCGGCGGGTTCTCCAGGCACGGGTGCTTCTGCGGCGACGGCGCCGGCGAGTACACTTGCCATCTCCCACGGCCGCCGTTATTCTCCTTGGCCAAGGCGAGGCGCCCAGCGGCGGCGGCCACGACGGCGGCGAGGGCGACGACGAGGAGGCAGCGGACTAGCATCCTCGTGAATCCGGCGGCGGCGCGTCGCCCGTGGCGAATTCAGACGTGTTCGGTGATCGGTGTGTGTGTGTGTTAACGCTTGAGCCCGTTGATTAATTTGCTGATGTGATCCAGGCACTCGAGATGGAGATATATATAGGTAGCGGGACGGAGGGAGCTAGCGAGCGGTGCTGTGTGCACGGAACTCCAGAACCATAGAGCCTGTTTGATGTCATTTTCAACCATAATATATTTGTTTCGCAAAGTTAAAAAACAATATCTACGTTTAGTTTATTACCAAATTTAGTCAATACATAAGAAATCTTGCCATTGCCAAAATTTTAGCATTGACAAAACTTGTTAATGTTTATTTTAGTTACAATCTAAACATGCCCATACATATATATTTAACTTTTTTTTCTATTATGAAGTCGCATCATTTCGGCTATTTTTAGCTTTTAATGATTCATCAAGAATTCAAATTGTCTATCTTCTCAAAAAGCAACACTGTACATCACAATCATTTATAATCGTTGGATAATTGATCAGGGTAACATATATAGACTATAGAGAACATATGAAAGAAAATTATATAGTAAGAAAATTAAATTTTACAACTCATCAATACTATTTTGTTATACAGTTTTCTCGTAGCAACGTGCAGAATTCCCATTAGTATACATGTGTGCTGTGTGCAAAATTGTCAGATGTACGCGCGTCCACGGCGCAGGGAACGTACGTACTTACCGGGATTCAGGAAGGTCCAGGAACGGGGACAAACCTAGGACAACGATTTTTATTTTTTTCCGAATGATCAGCATCCGCGATAGGACAACAATTATGACTTTATATTGCACCTACGGAGAGAGTATATATTGCACTACGGAGAGAGTACTTTATAAACCATGTATAGTCTAAAGTGGCACAAGTGAACAATACTAACATGATATACACTTAAACTTGTGAAATAAATTAAACAACCAGAATAAAACAAAATCCTAACCAATTTTTTTAGACTAAATAGATATAAAATTGAGAAGATCACGGTACCTTACCGTAAAACCTAGTCACGATGTGATGAAGTGTAACCACTTGGGAGTTGGACATTAGAGCGGACAATTAATGACGTCCTGCTAGCTATATTGGTTAGTGATGGACCCCTGACCGGCCTAGGCTCTAGGCGATCGCACTAGTGGTCTAGGCCCATGGCCCTTCTTGAGATACTCGGACGCTCATTTGTTCAGATCCCGCACAAGTGGTCTAGGCCCATGATCTCACCCTTCTTGAGATACTTGGACGTCCATTTGTTTAGATGCCTGTCTATGTATCTTATGATAGTTTCTAGGTTTGCATTTCATATGGAGTTTGCACTATATTTTCCCATGATCGATGCAGCCGCCCAGCAGTGCTGCAATTAAGGACATACTTCACAACTTTTTTAGGAGTATATTGCCTGATCGTAAATCAAATACTTGATTCGAAGTTTGGAACCTTTGTAGAGACGAATATTGTTTGGATGTCCCCTCTTTATGCAGACACTGCCCTTTATTTTTATAGGCGGGTTAAAAGAAGACCTGTTTTTTTTTTAAAAAAAATGCGGAGGGAGTCTCTGGTCAAGACCTACATATTTGTGAAATTCGATTTTCAGAAACGAACGCTTAAGCCACTTGCGACAACATTTTCACAGACGGGCGATTTAAGTCACTCACATTTGGAAATAAAATTTGAAAAACACGTATCTATACTTAGTTTTTCATATAAAGTTTGATGAAGGACAACTTTATAATAAAATTGTAGATTTTGATAAGATCTGCAACTTTGTAGCTAGGTGACAACCTTTCATTATAGAGATTGTTTAGAGACCCAAATATTCGTTACAAGATCTCAAATTTATTATTATAAAATCTCAAATCTATATTGAAACGATCTCCAAGGCTCCAATGAAGACATACTCTACACTATACGACCCCCCCCTACTACTGAGTAATCTAAGAGGGATTACATAATTCTAGTAAAAGTGAATACATGAGATATGTGGAGGGGGAATTAAATTTGAAAATATACTGTTGATTTGTTTTTTTTCTCAAAAATATTCAGGATGTAAATTGTTTAGCAGAAATATACTATCAGTCTCGCACATCCATTGCGCGAGAGTGACGTAGGCGTGTGTCACGCCCCGAACTAGCCCCGAGTGGAACTAGCCCGTGACGCTCCGAATTAACCTGTTAATCGATACCAGTCCCAGGAAACAGTGCTGGTATCACAGGAAGACAGAATATCACAGCAACAGAGGTCTCTTTATTATAGAGTAGGAGTACAGTCATGTTGGGCTGCGGACAGATCCCGAGCTCACAACTGCATTACAAAAGGGAAACGGAAGCCAAGACTTAGACCAAACATCACAGGCGTGACTTGGGAACTAGGCCGAAACCCTAAAACTCATCGTAGCCGACTTGCTCCTGGAAGAACTCCTCGTCAGCGGGATCCGCTTCATCTTCTTCAGCAACTGGGGGGAGATTATTTATATAGAGCAAGGGTGAGTACGGGAGTACTCAGCAAGCCATGGGGAATTAAGTGTTTAATGCAGGCTTCAAGGAAAGGCTGTTGTTTTTGCAATAGGTTTTATTTAAACTCCTTTCTGAAACAACTAAGTGAGTGCTTCTCAAACGACACGGATGAGACAGTGCGTCTCGTCCGGTTGGAGTATGTGCAATGTATCAGTCTTTTGAATTGATCAAGATTGGCACCCGGCCAACAGCTTTCAAACGGCCACCCGGGCCTGGCTGATCCCATCAGCCGCAGATTTTCCAAACATCGAACCCAAACCACATCAGCAAATTTCACAAGCAGTAGGCAAACAAAACTACGCTAGGAATCACCTCACATCCGCCCATGACCGTGGGCACGGCTGTTCGAACAGTTTAATAACCTCTGCAGAGGGGGTACACTTTACCCACACGACATTACTAACCCGAATCACCCAGCCCGTGCAGAACGGCCACGTCTGGTGACATAAAGGTTTTCATGACAAGGCATTTCGAGAGCAGACACAGGGTTGCCATATGCCGACGAGAGGGGTCCCAGACCAACAACAGGTTAGGTCCCAGACCATACTGTGCCAGGAAGCCCGGGGGTTCTCTCCGACACCACCCCGTTGAATCCACATGTCTGTCAGCATCAAGGCTCCCCCGCTTAGCAATTTACTCAGCCAGGGGTGTCCCATTCCACCCATGTGGTCGCACTTGTCTTATGATCGGATGAAATTCCAAGGAAACGGTCCTTAAGTGCAAGAGCGGGAAACCGTACACCCGGTACGTTCCCCGGTCCGCGATTTTGGAAATTCATTTAGTTCGCAAGCACCGACCCAGGTGTCGGGTTTTCCAAGTCTTTTGTAAAACCCAAGTTTTACCCAAGATGTTTCTCAGATTTTAAGTTTGAAGGCGACCGTCGATACTCGTGCAGAGTGCACGATTACCGAGGCACAACTAGGTGGTTACAAGGGAACATGATATAACAATTAGCAATAGAAGGATCAGATGCAACAAGTTAGGTAGGCCCACCGGTCTGCCTTGCAGACGGGCAAACAGATTAAGTGCAATCCTATCAATGCATGATATTTTGCAAGCAATATAATTAAGTTCAAATATAGGCTCAATATGTTCAAAGGTGGCTTGCCTTGCTCGAGATCTTGAGCTTGATCCTCGAATTCCTCGCACTACGGGTCTTCGGGCTCCGAAACTACACGCGAAACGGGACAACTCAACAAACAGTGAAAATTAAGCCCTATTAATGACCTCTAAGCGTGCCATTAGATAGATCTCGAAATTTGAGGAATTTTGGAAGTTGAATGGAGTCAAACGGCCTTACGGTTGGGAAGATATTGAATTTCTAAGATTATTGGATTTTTGGTCTAAAGGAAAAAGGATTTATTTAAATTATTTTTGAAAAGAAAAGAAAAGAAAAGAAAAGAAGGAGGGAGGGGAATTAGACTTCCCACGGGCGGCTAGGGCGCGGCCCGAGAGAAAGGAGCGGCTCGGCAGACCTTAATGGGCCGGCCGGCCCAAGAAGGCGGCCCAAGGCACGCGCACGGGCGGGGGGAAGAGAGGAAGCCGATGGGCCGGGTCCACCTTGCGTGGTCCCGGGTGGGACCCGCTTGTCGGTGACTCGGCTCACCGTGAGCGAGGAGCACGCGGGGCGTGCTAGGGTTTGGGGAGGGGAGGCGCGGCGCATGCGCGCGGTTCGCGGAGGACGCGGATGCGGCGGGCCCACGCGCAGCCTCATGGCTCACCGCGGACCATGCGCATGGGGGAGGGGGGAAACGGAGGGAGCGGCTGGCCGGGTCAGCCGATCCGGTCGTGCCGAGGTGGCTCCGACGTGGCGCCTACGTGGCTGCCACGCGGGCCGGCTGGAGGAAGACGAAGGCGCCGGCCTCGAATGGACGGCGGGCGGCGACGGTTTCTCCGGGACGCCGTGCGACGACGAGGGGCGACGGGGCGTACACCGGGATGACGAGGGAGAACGAGAGGGAGCGAGCCAACGGCTTGGATTCGCCGGAGGGAGTCCGTCGGCGGCGGATTGCGGCGGCGGCAACCGGCGGAGAGAAAAGGGGGAAACGGCGACGAGGTCATGAGGGACCGATTCCCGGCGGTGAGAGCATCTACGCGGCTACGGGAACCCACCCCTTGCGCCGGATTAGGAGGAAACGCATCGAGGGAGGCCGGCGACGAGAGACGCTTCCGAGCTCGGGCGGCGATGGCGGCGAGCACACGGCGAGCGACGGCAGCAGTCGGGGCGACGCCAGCTAGCTACTGGGGTACTACACACGCTACTAACCGAGTCTAAGGGGAGGAGATGGATCGAGGAGGGAGAATGGGGGAATGCACTACCGAGATGAGGCGGGGCGCTGTGACGAGAGGCTGACGGCATGGGAGCGATCTCTCCGGCCTCGTGCCGGGGAAGAGGAAGAAGAGAGCGCGCCCGGAGTCCCCTTCCGTGTCCTCGCTCGTGCCGGCTCCTCCGACACGCGCGACGGCGAATGGCGAACAGAGCATGGGAGGCGGCGACAATGGAGTGGAGGCGATGGGACAAAACGAGAGGAGAAGGGAGAGAGGGCGCCTGGGCTTTATAGGATGGCAACGTCGGTTTGGGAACCGACCTAGGGCTGTCAAGG